CAGCTATGGACCTGACCCAGTTAATTCATGGCCCTACCCACACAGGGGGAAACACGCTGCATCTGGTTTTTGTCTCTGGACAGTGGTTGAGTGATCTCGAGATAGGAGATATAGTCACCGAGCCCTTGTCATGGTCTGATCACTCTCTCCTTCGTCTCGACCTTCAAACCGCTACACCCCACCACAGGGAGGCGGAGCCGGTAAGATGGTTCCGCCCCAGGTGCCTGATGGAACCTGACAGGTTCCAGATGGAGCTTGGACCATTTCCTGAGGCTCTGGCACACGCCTCGACTGGAGACCTAGTGGCCGCCTGGATAGGGTGGCCGCTGGAGCTCTGGACCGGGTTGTGCCTTTGTGGCCTCTGACCCAGCGCCGATCTCATTTAGCTCCTTGGTTCACTGAGGAGCTGAGGGAGTTGAAGCACCGGAAAAGATGCCTAGAGAGTAGTTGGAGGGCCAGTCTTTCTAAATCTGACCGGACACTGGTAAGATCTCATATTAGGAATTACCTAGTGGCGATAAAAGCAGCGAAATGTAGCTATTTTGCTGCTCTTATTGCATCATCAGATAATCGCCCGGCCGTCCTGTTTAGGGTGACCCGCTCCCTGCTCCACCAGGAAGCGCGGGAGGACCCCTTGGAGGGTAGAGCCAAGGATTTTGTTCAGTATCTGTATGATAAAATCACTCAGATTCGGGAAGATCTGGACTCCGACTGGGTAGTCTCAGGGGGAGGGACTGGGGCAGGTCTTGAGAATGTTATCTGGGATGAGTTTGATCCTGTGACCCCTGAGGACGTGGACAGGATTCTGGGTAGACTGAACGCGACCACTTGTTTATTGGACCCGTGTCCCTCCTGGTTAGTGCTGGCTTCTCGGGAGGTGACACGAGGCTGGTTCCAGGGGATTATAAATGCTTCGTTGGGTGAGGGTGACTTTCCTGCCACCTTGAAAGAGGCGGTGGTGAGGCCTCTCCTCAAGAAGCCTTCCCTGGACCCGGCAATGTTGGTAAATTATCGTCCGGTCTCCAACCTTCGTTTTGTGGCGAAGGTTGTTGAGAGTGTGGTTGCGCAACAGTTCCCCCAGCACCTGGATGAAACAATGTATCTGGATCCGTTCCAGTCGGGCTTCAGGCCTGGGTACAGCATGGAAACGGCATTGGTCACGTTGGTTGATGATCTCTGGAGGGCTTGGGACAGGGGGGTGCTCCTCTGTCCTGGTCCTGTTAGATCTCTCAGCGGCTTTTGATACCATCGACCATGGTATCATGCTGCACCGGTTGGAAGAGTTAGGGGTGGGAGGCACTGTGTTGCGGTGGTTCTCCTCCTTTCTCTCTGACCGGTCCTAGTCTGTGTTGACAGGGGGACAGAGGTCGACCCCGAGGCCCCTCATATGTGGGGTGCCGCAAGGATCGGTCCTCTCGCCTCTCCTGTTCAACATTTATGTGAAGCTGCTGGGCGAGATCATCCGTGGTTTCGGGGTGGAGTACCATCAGTACACTGACGACACCCAGCTGTACATCTCCACCCTGGATCACCCCAACGATGCCCTTGAAGTGATGTCCCGGTGCCTGGAGGCTGTACGGATCTGGATGGGGAGGAACAGGCTCAGGCTCAACCCATCCAAGACCGAGTGGCTGTGGTTTCCGACGTCCCGATATAGTCAGTTGGCACCATCACCGACTATTGGGGGCGAATCATTGGCCCCCACGGAGAGGGCCTGCAACTTGGGCATCCTCCTGGATTCACGGCTGTCTTTAGAAGAGCATTTGACAGCCGTGACCGGGAGGATTTTTCATTAGGTTCGCCTGATTCGCCAGTTGCGTCCCTTTCTGGATCGGGACTCCTTACGCACGGTCACTCATGCCCTCATCACCTCCCGCCTGGACTATTTCAATGCTCTCTACATGGGGCTCCCCTTGAGGAGCACCCAGAGGCTCCAATTGGTGCAGAGTGCGGCCGCGCGGGTGGTAATGGGAGCGACATGGCGCTCCCATGTAACACCTCTCCTGCGCGAGCTGCACTGGCTCCCGGTGGTCTTCCAGGTGCGCTTCAAGGTTTTGGTTACCACCTTTAAAGTGCTCCATGGCTTAGGGCCTGGTTATTTACGGGACCGCCTACTACCACCAATAGCCTCCCACCGGCCAGTATGCTCTCATAGAGAGGGACTCCTCCGGGTGCCGTCAGCCAAACAGTGTCGACTGGTGGCCCCTAGGGGGAGAGCCTTCTCTGTGGGGGCACCTACGATCTGGAATGAGCTCCCCCCGGAGATACAGAGGATCCCGGATCTGCGCACCTTCCACCGCGCTGTGAAGACCTTTTTATTCCACCAGGCGGGCTTGGCCTAATCTTTTCCCTCTTTTTAATATGTAAATTTTAATCTGTTTTTAAATTATTGGGGTGTTTTAATCTGTCTGGGCCAAAATGATTTAATTTGATTTTATCTGGTTTTTAAATTTTTTGTATCTATGTATTTTATTGTTTGGCTGTTCACCGTCCTGAGTCCTTCGGGAGTAGGGCGGTATACAAATCAAATAAACTATAAACTATAACTATTCAGAACTTTCTTCCCCTTAGTGAAGTGTTATATTGTATAGTTTGTGAAGACTGCTAAGATTGATGCTGTTACATTTCAAAGGTCACAGTTGTGTTTCTTCAATATTTCCCTAGGCTACTCCTTGCATTCCCATTAAAAAACACAACAACAGACATCAGCTGTATGATGTCTTGACCCACAGCAACTCTGGCATTTTTTTAAAAAATAGTCATTACCTCAGACTGAAACAATTTGGTGGCTGGCCAATGTGGCTGTATCCCAGCCAGAAATGTTGAGGTAGAGCAGGGGTGGGTTCTACTTACCTTTACTACCGGCTCACAATGGGATCCGATAGTACCTTGCTTCTGTGCATGATGTTGTGACCCCGACTCCCGAGCCTGTCCTAACAGAGGAAGATGACTCAGAAGGTGATGGGGAGTAACTGATAAGGCCTCCCTCTCCAGGACCCTCCTCTCTGGCAATGCTTCAGGTTCCATCCGAAGGCCAAGAGGAACAGCCTGGGATATGCCAGGAGGAAAGCATATCGGAACAATAACAGATAGGGAGTGAGGATGATGAATCCTGGCTTGATCCCAGGCAGCATCGGAGTGCGCAGCAACAAAAGAGGCGTGGGAGGGCCAGAGATTGAGCTGAGTCACTGAGCCACACCCCACAAGGAATAAAAGTGGGTGTGATTGCTCTTCAGGCTTTGTGACGGTCAAAGTTAAAAACCTGAGAGTCACATCGCGTTACCTGAAATCTGGCTTGTGAATATTTGGATTGGACCTTGGCTAACTCTTGCTTCGTGGATTACTTTTTGTTACTGAACCGGACTGAGGATAAACTCTCTCTTGCTTACTGTGAGTGAAAACTGACTTGGCAGGCATTTCACAGTTTACTGCCAAAACTCTTATCTGCAAGGGTTTCTAGTCTGATTGCTTAATAAAATCTTGGCAGGCATGTCTGGTTGTGTGTTTGCCTGTGTGGGGAAGGGGGACAGAACACATGCGCACATCACCGATGATGACATCCGGGCCAGTGGGCGGGGGCGGGCCCTCCCACCGGTTTTACTATCAGTTCTTGTGAACCGGTCCAAACCGGGGGCAACCCACCACTGAGGTAGAGGTAGGAAAGCGAGAACTGCTACAATATTCATGGGGAAATGATGGTTTGGTAGGTATTTCTCCTTTTGAAATTGAAAGTGTTCAAGTCTTCAAGTGTTTAGCCGCTCATACGTGTGCCTTTATGTTCTTCACCCTGAACACTGAAAGACACACACTATTTTAGCTGTTCCTGAGCTGATGGACAAAAATCATACTTTTATACATTATTTTGACATCATCGTATGTTTATAAAGGGTAGAATCGTAGGTCATAACCATGTTGAAGGCAACAGTGCTACATTGGCTCTGGTGAAAAAAGTCTGCTGTTCAGGACTAAAATATATTTCATGCAAACTCTAGACCAGATTGTATGAAAAAGAAACCTGATTATGAAAAATATGTCCTTATGAATCATTCCATTCTATTCCATTCATCAATTGCTCAATAAGAAGACTTATTCTGGACAATGTACAGAATACAAATACAGGTTAAAAATTGCAATGTCCTTAATGCAACTGAAGCAATCGCAAGTTAAACAACTAGGAAATGAAAACAAATTAGTTTAAAACATTGCATGAATGATGTGATACTTATTGACTGAGCTAGTGGCATGCAATTAACTGCAAATAACTAAACACATCGGAAAAGAATATTAAATTATAAATTTGGCAAAATAATCGTGGTAATCCCTAGGAGATCTTAAACTTTTAAAAAGCCTGGGAAAATCAAGTTGCACGGTAAGGATATTAGACTTTGAGGAGGATATTCCAAGTCAATGGTACATTCTTAGAAAAGTCTGGAAGTTGAGTCATGTCAACTGAACTTTTCTTTTTGGTTTTGCTGTTTGTCCAAGAAACTTCTTCCGTCTTCAGAAACTTTAAGAAGTCAGTTGCTATGGCTCAAATTCCAGACACCTCTATCTGGATGACTGAAAATCTTTATCAGTATTATTGGGAAGGGGTATTTCCACTTGTTTAAAGTCCAATTTGTTGACCAAGCCTTTTTTATTCAACACATTAAGCCAAAACTAAATACAATACATTATAGTTGATTGTTAGGTAGGAATCCTGACATTATATCCATATCCAGATGAAAATTTTACATTAAGCATTGATTCAGCAGGCTAGCAATTACATATTGACTTGAAAAATGACTATGATAATATAAGGCTGTCTAGATGTTACTTACAACTTTCAACAGCACCATCCAGCATTTTAAAGAGTAAGAAATTAGGGAAATTGTAGTTCAGCAATATCTGGAAAGTCACTTAAATATTGATAAGATTCTCCACTGTTATTCTCAGCTAGGAATAATTACTTAATTGAGAAACTGAAATGGAAATCTGGTCATTTTTGCTGTTTACTGCAGGAATGGATCGACCATAAATTGTGCTGGAATCCTGAAGATTATGGTGGGATCACTGCAATTCGGGTTCCATCTGAATCTCTCTGGCTCCCTGATATTGTTTTATTTGAAAAGTGAGTATTGGGATCCTAATGCAGTGAGGGGTGGCTATTTTCTCAAAGATAATCCTCTGTTTCAGAGAGATCTGAAGGGCTATCCAGTTGATGTCTTGGCTGAAATTGTCAACCAGAAGGACTTGCATAGCAACTCAAGTGCAAATTTGTGAAGTATTTGTTATTGTTGTCTGTAGTGGTTTTCTATTTGTTCCTGAATTTCTTTGGCCTACTTGAAATTTACCTAAGCAAGTTTTCTCAGACACTATAGGTAGAGTCCATTTGCTTCGGCCTCACTTCAAAAACATTTATTCAATTCTTGCTGTATCAGTACTTTCTTGAAATATTTCAAAATACTTCCTAATATAAAGAATAATTTAAATTGATCAAAAGCAATGGATTAGACCGCATATTTTGTTCACTGAGGAGGTTATTTCAGGAGGTTATTGGATGCTGTAGACCAGGGGTGTCAAACCTGCCTGTGTGGGCCACGCCCAACACTGGTTTAGCGAAGGGGGGGAAAGTTGCAATATGTCATGCGACAACATGTCGACATGAGTTTGACACCCGTGCTGTAGACTTTACAATCCAAAGGTGAAGAAAGTGGTCCAAACTTAGAGGGAAAGATCTGATCCCACAACATTCCCACAACATCTCAGGTGTCTTAGAGTCAGGTGGTCTTTTCTTCTCTGAGCCCAGAGCAATGAAGCTGATAAAGGCAAAAATATATTCCATGGGCATATCAGGAACAGCTTGAATCTTCAGGAATTTGGGGGGGCGGGGGGATAGCGAATGTAATTTTCTTATTATTGAAGCAATTAATACATGTTGAAAACCATGCTTAAGATGTGAGGGTGGTGGCACCTATAGGGCACGGCTAAGATAAAAGTTGTTTTTCATCTATATCTCCTTTCCTTCCTCATCCCACTTAGGATTGCTATCTACTAGAATTAATTGATTAAATATTACAGGCATAATATGAAACATTCTGATTGACAATTTAATTTAAGGAAATCTGATTGTGGGACTTCTACCAGGCTAGTAAGTCAAAAAAGTGTTCTTTGAAAACTCATATTTGAGCACAGATTTTGCCATAAGGAACAACTCTCCTAACTCTTTTTAAGTTTTATTTCTGAGGTCTGATTTGCAGGCAGGCAGTAACTTCCACAAATGTGAACTCACAAGAAATAGAATCCTTTTAAAACAAGCAGAAAGAATTGTTAAGTAGGCTACCACTATAACTGCAATAGGAAACAAACCTGACATAGGGGAAAAAATTATTGGAACAAGCATCATGATATGTAATTTAAGAACAGTTTTCTCCTCTATCCTTTCTAGTGCTGATGGGCGATTTGAAGGTTCATTGATGACAAAAGCAATAATTAAGTACAATGGGATAGTAGTATGGAGACCTCCAGCCAGTTATAAAAGTTCCTGCACGATGGATGTGACCTTTTTCCCATTTGACAGGCAGAATTGCTCCATGAAATTTGGATCATGGACCTACGATGGCAACATGGTTGACCTGATCCTAGTAGACGAAAATGTGGATAGGACAGACTTTTTTGATAACGGGGAATGGGAAATCCTAAATGCCAAAGGAATGAAAGGAAACCGAAAAGACGGATTATATTCCTACCCATTCATCACCTATTCTTTTGTTTTAAGACGCCTCCCACTGTTCTACACACTTTTCTTAATAATTCCATGCCTAGGGCTATCCTTTTTAACAGTGCTCGTGTTTTACTTGCCCTCGGATGAGGGAGAGAAACTATCACTCTCGACCTCTGTTTTAGTTTCCCTCACAGTTTTTCTCCTGGTCATTGAAGAAATCATCCCCTCTTCCTCCAAAGTCATACCCTTGATTGGCGAGTACTTGTTGTTCATCATGATTTTTGTCACCCTTTCAATCATTGTGACAATTTTTATAATTAATGTGCACCATCGTTCCTCGGCCACCTACCATCCCATGGCTCCCTGGGTGAGAAGACTTTTCCTACAGAAACTGCCCAAGCTGCTCTTCATGAAAGGACACGTCGATCGCTGTGCTTTCGCGGATCCAGAAGGAACTCTAAAACCAAAACTGAGGAAGTATAAAAACAAACAATTGAAAGATGGAGAAAAGGTGGTGGTGGCGTTCTTGGAAAAAGCTGCCGATTCCATTAAATATATCTCCAGGCATGTCAAAAAGGAGCACTTCATTAGGCAGGTAAGTTAGGAAACAAGAGTGGTCTGATGTCAGTTTTCCATTTACCTCATCTCCCAATTCCCACAGCAATGTCTTAGGCCTAAAGATGCAGTAACCTGTATCGCTATTATCCTTCTCATCTTTCACATAATTTTTTTCTCAACTTTTCATCTTTCCTACTACTTTCTCCTTATGATTTATCACTTGTTGTTTTTATTTTATGATTAATGATTCTAACTACAATTTTTGATCTATGACCTATCACTTTGTTGTTTGTATGTACACTGAGAGCTTATGCACCAGAGACAAATTCCTTCTCCGTCCAATCACACTTGGCCAATAAAGAATCATATTCTATTCTTGTTCCAAAGTTAGAGAAGAACTTAAACCTACATTTTAAAACAAATCATCAGGTCATAGCAAACATGGACAAACTAATCCTGAAAAAGCTTTTCTTATATTTGTAAATTTAGAATACGTTGCAACATTGGGCCAGGATTCTTCTAATCCAGCATTGTCCAAGTTTTAAAGCAAAGAAAAGTAATCCCTTGCCATTGACAGTGATGGTTGGGGCTTGTGAAATTGCATATCTCAACATTTGGAGGAAACAACAACTTCCTTATCCTAGATAATTCAGTAAAAATTGACTAATGTCTATCAAAGGAACATGTTTTATCCTTTGTTTACCCTTGTGTAAAATGAAAAGAAATGATTGAGCTTGGCATTTTGAAAAAGAATGAAGTTAAAGTCAGAAAATGGTTAATATTAGACTTAAGTTTAATCTGATGCATTATGTACCAGTTATAAATTGTTAGCTTCCAGCATAAATACAGTCCATGTTTCTGAATATGTTTTTCTGCTCCAAAGGACAATACTGCTTATTACCGTTAATATGGGAAATAGAAGTAAGGAATTAACTTACCTAACTGATGAATAATTTTGGTTATGTAACATTCCCTTAAAAAAACTTCTACTTCAGAGAACATGAAAAGGATAATGAATACAAATTCAAATCTACTTCAAAGATAGACAATCAGTGGGCTGCTAAGCAAGTATTCACCTAAAAATCTGTCTTCGTCATTGAGCTTGCTTTGGCTGCCATTTCCTGTTGCTCACTGAGTGCCAGTCATTGGCCAGAGTGTAGCTAGGCAATGCCCACACCATAGTCAGTTGCTGGCTGAGTCAAAGAGCACCCACGCATTGTGGCCCACAGGCATACAATGACAATAACCAGGTTTCATCAGCGTTTAGGCGGGAGACTAGCTAATCGCCTCAGCAGTGTGGCCACAAGTTCCACCAACAGATATAACATAAAAATATAAAAAGCAAACTATTTCTTGAGAATGAGCAGCTCACTAGTAACTACCTATAAGCAGATTTAATTTGGCTTTTGGTTTCTTCAAGTTGCAATCCTATCTCTATATAGAGACAAGCGGGAACTTGTGATTCATGCTGACTCTGCTTGGTCAGCTGCATTGAAACAAAATAATTTTACATAACTTTTATGGGTCATGCTCAATATTCAATATCCCCTAAAGATTGTATCAATGCTTATTGAACAAGAGACTTACACCACATCTGACCCACCACAGATGGTGACCCTCTACCTAATGCCATGTATCCTTAGTAGTCTGCTGTGTTCTTCACAGGATTATCAAGCATAAATTTATATGATGGAACATAAACTTGGTTCTGGGAATAGAGAAGAGTTGAATGGCCCATTGAGGATGGGAGAGATTCAAAAAAGACCATTCAAGGAAAGAAGAAAGCACAAGATAAAAATCCAGAGTAACTCCATCTGATTGGGGGGAGGGGGGTTTGTACTGTATAAAGTAGAAACTCAAATACTTTGGCCACCTAATGAGAAGGAAGGACTCACTGGAGAAGTACCTAATGCTGGGAAAGATTGAGGGCAAAAGAAGAAGGGGATGACAGAGAACGAGGTGGCTGGATGGAGTCACTGAAGCAGTAGGCGTGAGCTTAAATGGACTCCAGAGGATGGTAGAGGACAGGAAATCCTGGAGGAACATTGTCCATGGAGTTGCAATAGGTCGGACACGACTTCGTAACTAACAACAACAACAAGTATTCTACTATACTGTAGATTCTCAAAAAGAAAATCCTAAAAAAATGAAGATCATTCCTACAATCTCTGTTTCTGGACCTTGCATACTTTGAAGGCTGAGCGTTGATGATTTAAGTCCCAAGTATATTTTAAACCATGACTTCACTTGTATAAAATGAGCATTAAACTCACAATTCTTATTTTCCTCCCTTCTCCTAGGTAGTGCACGACTGGAAGTTTGTAGCTCAAGTTCTTGACCGGATCTTCCTGTGGCTGTTTTTGGTGGTATCTGTGATCGGGTCTGTTCTTATATTTACTCCTGCTTTGGAGATGTGGTTGCATACTGGTTTGTAGGAATAAAACCATCAATCATGTAAGAATCAACTGGAGGAAGGAAACAGAAGATCAAGATGCCTGGTTTGGTAACATTCAGTGTGCACAGAATCAACAGGAATGTCATTGACACCCAACTATGCTGTGCAGATTCAGATCAAGTTTTAGATTAAATCTTTTAGCTACTAAACTCGTGAGATGGGCATGGATTGCACAAATGACTACTTTCACCTATATTTATTGAATTTATAGGCATTTATCTGTTTACCAAAATGCTATAGAAAAACAGATAAAAATATAAATATAAGAATATAAGAGTTTTACATACTGTATGTTCATCACCTTGAGTTACTTATAAAGTAATAAAGGCAGGATAAAATAAAATCTAATAAATAAAATTGGTATTTCAGCATTAGAAACTTAGATTATTTCTTGTTTTAGTTTACATGACAGATGTTGCATTTTGTTGAACTTTAGTTTTTATCAGCTCAAACCAATAAGACCAGAGTTATAGTTCAGTTTAAACTGTAATAGCTTTTCCCCCAAATAATCTTTAAACCTCAAAGAACATTCCATGAGTTGTTTTCTGCTCATTTATTGGGAATTTTTCAAACTATTCTCTGACCGAACCCCTCCCTCATGCTTCCAAAATGTTGATACTTGTGCAAATGAAGGAAATTGGTCGCCGGTTTCCCCGTAGATGGATGTAACTTAACATTTAATTTTAAAAGTCCCATTTTTTTTAAAAAAAAGAAAATGTTAAAGAAGTCCGCAAAAATCATGAGGAAAGATTTATGTAACTGGTCTTTCCACCATATTTAATAATCAAATTTCAGAATTCACTTTCCAATATTATACTGACACCAACTGTTGTTGGAAAGATGACAATTTATTGCACTATTTTTTTAAAAAAGATATTTGTGCATAAGATTTATAAAAAGTAAATGTTATAAGCACAGATTTTATATTTTCACACATTGGAGATATATAAAGCATTAATAAAGCCTGAATGTACGCGTTTAAATGTGATGAGCAGCAATGTCCCTATACATTAGTTTTTGAAATGAACTTGAGGACATAATCTTTTTCCATCACTTCAATTCTCACTTTCTCAAAAGCATCATACTATTTAAATTAACAGGATTTGCTTTTGATCACCCCGCTAAAACATTTTGTGAAGCTTACAGACCAGTGTTTCTCAGCCCCTTTAAGCTATGTGGATTCAACTCCAAGAATTTCCCAGCCAGTATGGCTGGCCAGGAAATTCTGGAAGTTGAAGTCTACACGACTTAAATATGTTGAAACTGAGGAGGACTGTTACAGATTATCAGTACTGCAGGATCCAATCTGAATCGGTCACCAAGACAAGAGGTTTAGCCTTCCAAGCTTTTGGACTCATGCTGGAGCCCATCCTCAGGGAATTTCTCTCACTAGAATCTCTCTCTCTCTCTTTTTGATGAGAGAGAAGTTCCCTGAAGATGGGCTCCAGCATGAGTCGGAAACCTCAGAAGACTAAAGCTCTGGTCCCAGTGACCGATCCAGATTGGATTTTGCAACATGATCCTGGGACATATATATTTGCTTTCATTCATTATCAGTACTGACTGGTGCACATGAAAGAAACATTAACATCAATTGCTCCTCATATATGATTGACTTTATATCACCTAACTAGAAGCCGTGTAGACCAGGACTGTTTATACAGTATGTCATTTAATACTTGCCCTGCATGATTAATAATGAGCAAATCTGCTTTGCTGGGATCAGCAATTAGGGCTGTCAGATTATTCCAGTCTAAACATGATGGCATCTCTATGTCTTTGCTGCTGGAAAGGTGCTTTAAAATACAGATGCACAATGGTTTTGCTTTGTTCAGTGTGATGGTTAGTATGCTGTAGGTGGCTGAGTACAAGTAAATAAGGATGTGTCATAGCTGAAAACCCAAATGGATCTTGGAACTGTCCTGGCTGATACACAATTATTGTACTTTATACTGGTTGAACTCCATGGGCTACATGAGTTACCAAAGGCTGGAATTCAAGAACACTAATATGCTTAATTTAAAGTATTAGTTAGCACCCAGAGCAACCTTATCTATTTTCAAAGGAAAATAAGAGATATGTTCACCAAGCAGCTTTAAAATAAATGACGATAAAGTGCTGAAAAATTGACTGGTGTAGTGGAAGCTATTTAATATTGATATATAACTATATATCATGATATATAATTAGAAAAGGGTTGCATCTACCAGCATATTCTTAAAAGTACTTATATCTTGCTAGAGTTAAGGTTGGAGATTTTTACTTTCAAGAAAAGCTGAATACTTGACAAAGATCTGGAATGGGATTTAGACTTTTTTCAGTCTCTAAAAAAATATACTTGCACATGAACATATTCTATGACTAGAATCCTCATAATGGTTCGAGAGAAGACTTAAGATGGATGCTTTTTAATTTTAAAATAATTATTGTCCAGATAATCTATATTGAAAGGCAGTGGAAAGAAAATTAGGAACATTATCTTGATGTCTTCAAAATGAGAGCATTTATCCTTCTGTCGAAACAGCTTCTATCTGCCTGTAGATTTTCAATGTCTTGTAGTATTTCCATGCCATTTTTTGAAGACCAGTTTTCCTGCCTGTCAGAGGGTATATGTTTTCATTTCCTCATGTATATCCAAAAGATCCCCTTTGGATCCTAATAACGTCTCCTCCAGAGCTCTATACCAGTCTTAGGAGTAGCAGTCAATATGTGAAGAGGCTTATAAGAAGTTTATACCACTGTTTTTCTATAAGTAAGAGCTGATTTTATCCAAAGGCAAGGGTCCAAAATCATGTACTGTCATAATTCCAATGCTAGCAGGCTACAGACACAACCAATAGTAGTTGAACTCAGCTTTGCCTTATTGTATTATATTCTCCCTGGAGTGTTGATGTTACACCTCCAAACTTCAATTCTAGGGTTCTACCATATGTTAGCCACAATTGCAGTTTTTTGCTTGCTGGGTTTCAAGACAATGTCCACATTTTTACTTATACCACTTAGGTTTCAGGACTTTCTTGCACCTGAGCGAAAAATGGTAAGCTATTCCTATGGATTAGTTCATAAGTGATGTGACGTGTTTATTGAAGCTCTCTCTCCTTCAGTTCAGCTCATAAAGTCCATCTGGGTGCAATCAGTAAGTGATACTATGGAAAATAATTGTGTTCTACATTCAGTCCACCTCTCCTAGCATGGGAAGTAAAAATATTTAGTGCAATGACTACAAAGTCTCTATGTCTTATATGTGAGCATAACACCGCTTTGAATGTTGTCAGCCAGTAGTGGCATGTCATCCACTCACAAGAGCTGCTCATGATTGTATATGTTATTAATGAAAGCAATAACAAATAAATAATCTGAAAACTGAGAATGTTATTTGTGTATTAAACAAAAACAAAACAAAAACAAATGGGAAAGATGGAATAGCCTTCCACCGTAGGAGGAAATACTGTAGACAATAATTAAAGGTAGTTTAAATAGATATATGCTACCAATGATATCAATATTTTTGCTCTCTATTGTAAGTAGTGTAAGTAGGACTGGTATGAAAATCTCTCCCTCCCTCCCTCTCTCTCCCTCTCTCTCTCTCTCTCTCTCTCTCTCTCTGCCATGTTTGTCTTCTCTTTTTGATAACAACCAGTTTCACACAACACTTCAAATTTTACAGACCAGGAAAACAGCCAAGCAATAACCACCACCCCTTTAAAAAGAATTAATTATCAGCTTTAACTAATTATGATCTGCATGAAAACTTAGAAAATAATAGCAGTAGAATAAAACCTGGCAATTAGTCTGGATCACAAATTAAATCATAAGTACACATAATTCAGGAGTAAAGTATGGGGGGATTCATCCCTCCAACATTAACTCAACTTTCTGTTGGGTGATTTAGTTTATTTTCTATAATCCTAAATCGTCATTTATCATTATTATCATAATATCTATATCCATTGATTAGAACATTGCAATGTAAGCATTTTGGCGCATGGATGGAAAAATAAGTGGAAAATCTGCAGGAGGCAGAAAAATGGGTCAGAGGAAGGTCATAAAGGAATTATATGTAGAGAGACAGTCAGCTGTAAATTTGAAATTCAGAACTAGTAGGGAGACGCTGACTTGCCAAGAAGGAAATAATCATTAAACTAGGGTCTCTAAGAGCATGTGATATGTCAGCTAAAAATTACAACATTCTTGTAATATAAATGGATGAGTTTCAGAAAGAGTTTAGCTGACCAATACCAAGATTTTTGAGATGTTGGTGGATTGTTTAGTATTCAGTTCCAATGATCCTATAATATAGGAAGACCATTTTGGGATAAGGTCAATTAAACAAAATTGCATAATTTTTGCACATTACAATGAAAATAAAAGTGCAGCATTTTCATTTAACTTTAATTTTTGGAAGGACTGGAAAAGACAGATACCGATGTACATCTGGAAAAAGGCTTATCTGAAAAGATTGTTGCAATTCAATGAGAAGGCCTACACATCTTGTGTGCTATAACTATGAGTTTGTTTTATGTTTAGCTTAGCTTAATGTATTGTGGGAACTCAGCAAGTATGATTTTTACAACATTGTGACTGTAGGAACCCAGCCAATTTACTTGACAAACCACAATTAAACAAAAAATGGGTTAGGCCCTGCACACATCATGGAATAGATTGGTTTGACTCAGTACAAGGTAGCTTTCATATTTATCGCTCATTGGAATAATTATATACATAACAATATTATTTAATAAATGGATATATATCTATAGGGTGGTAGAAAATATATGTCTGCAATGCAGAATGCCTGTGGCCAATAGCCTAGAGGAGCAAATCATATGAAGGCGATGATTTTTTTACCTAAGCTTGATTGACTGCTTTCATTTCCCTCCTGCTTTTCCAGGAATTATTCAGTGGCTTAAATCATGTTTTCAAGATCACACTTTAATAAAGCACAAAAGAGAAGAGCAGGGAAAGAAAAGACCACTTTTTCAACTAGAAACATTGGACAATTGGTACACATCTGCTGTCTTGGTTGGTCTGATCTTCCCTTCTTGAAACTCTTACTTGAATAGCAAGTTTGTGGCTCTTATTTCTTCCTGGCTAAAAGAAGAAGCCAGAAGTGACCCATGGATGCCATCAGAATGATACTGCTGTTCAAGTCTCTAGTCCCAGAGCCATTTTTATTCCATCTGGTGGTTCCAGATGGTGGTTGAAGGCAAAGCAAGATTCCTATCACAATTTTTTTCCAGGTGATCTAAGTGGCCATATTAGTTAGTTTCTTTATGTTCTTTCCGGAAGGAGGGAAATAATTTCCCTATGGTTCTTGATCTCATAGACAAGATCAAGGTATGCAGTTGTGTAATCCAAGGTCAGTTTTCAGAGGTGGTAGAGTGAGACCATATGAATATCTTTCATATGAAATGGCACAGTCAGAGGCCAATATTGTTGCATGATTTGAGTGGCCCTTTGTCCATTGTTTCTGCTTGGAGAAAGATTGCATATTTAATATTTTTCTAAAAGTTTAATACCACGTTTATGAAATGTAATACAAAGATGTGTTTAAGTACTACCTGATGTGTGTGTGTGTATATATCTGACATTATTGAAATATAGCCAGCTGAAGTTTACTTTGTGTCATGAAGCTTTCAAGATTTTGCAGCATGCTTCTTGAGACAACAGTTAGACATGTAGAATAGAATAGAATAGCAGAGTTGGAAGGAACCTTGCAGGTCATCTAGTCCAACCCCTTGCTCAAGCAGAAGATCGTACACCATTTCTGACAGATGGCAGTCCAGTCTCTTCTTGAAAACTTCCAGTGATGAAGCTCCCACAACTTCTGAAGGCAAGCTGTTCCATTGGTCAATTGTTCTCTCTGTCAGAAAATTTCTCCTTATTTCCAGATTGAATCTCTCCTTGATCAATTTCCATCCATTATTCCTTGGTTGGTAAGAATTTGCTGTTGATTTCTTTACTTCATTACTGCTTACTAGTACTTACTACTACTACTTACCATTTAGAACAGTTGGAAGGAAACTGTATGCAGGTACAATCAAGGAGCAGACTGAATTCCTATAGTAAAGCTTTCCCTAGTATAGACAGATTCAGAGAATTCCAACGAAAAAGGAGCTAGGGAGGGTTCATTTAGAACAACAACAAAATAATAAACAAAACAGAAAATTCTTGCCTAGCATGTCAAATGTTTTATGGGATTAAAAAAAAATTCTCAGCTGTCAGCAGTAATTTAATTTAAAAGGTTAGGATCAATTAGCCAATAATATAATTTAATTTTATGCTAACAGCCTCACACTACATTTTAATGCCATCAGTTTTTAGGCCTTCTGAATAAATGTGTAATTTATTCTTGTATAAAAAGTGTAAATAAAATAAATGTGTAAATGGGGGTTTCAGAATCCCTCCCTTGAAAGAATTTCCCTTGCTAAATGACGATCAGACTCCATGTCTGCCAGATCAGTAATGGATTCCACATCTGTTGAATGGAGTTTACATCTGCCTAGTCAGCAATGAAGCCCACATCAATCAGGCTGCAGGTTACTGAGCCTCCCTTGTAGTGGTGAAATCCATTTTTTTTTACTACCGGATCTGTGGGCATGGCTTGGTGGGTGTGGTGTGGCTTGGTGGGCGTGGCTTGGTGGCTGTGGCAGGGGAAGGATATTGCAAAAACTCCATTCCCACCACACTCCAGGGGAAGGATACTGCAAAATCCCATTCCCTCCCCACTCCTGGGGCAAGGATATTGCAAAATCTCCATTCCCATGCCACTCTGGTGCCAGCCAGAGGTGGTATTTGCCGGTTCTCTGAACTGCTCAAAATTTCTGCTTACCGGTTCTCCAGAACCTGTCAGAACCTGCTGGATTTCACCCCTGCTCCCTTGACTTCCATCAAGTCCTCCAATGAGAGTCATTCTTTTCAAGGCAAATATTCAAAGATCTCTACTTTCCAACAGGATGGCTAAAGCCTAGGGTGCATTCAGCCCTACTACCAACAAGAAGAGTGCATTTGAAGCCTTAAAGTTAAGAGGACATATAGAATTATCTAAAGATTTATATTTAAGGGGTCCCAAACTCTTTACACAGAATACCACTCAACCCAGGAGAGGGCTGAAGCATGAAAAGGAGGTTGAGAAATGAAGCCCCTTAATTGTGCCAGGGATACTTACACAAATGGAAGTGAGAATTACTTGGAAAGGCTCTGCAAATGTTGACACCTTCCACTGCAAGCCATAAAAGTCTTTCCAGGAATCTAACGGGCTCTTCTTCTTGAGGTTGCCAGGCTGGTCAGGCTCCCCAGGAGAGATTTCCTCTCCATCCCCACTCAGGCTTGAGGCAGGACCTCCCGACTGGCCATGTTGCAAAACTTTCCTTACTTCTGAGGTAGAGGAGCTGATGCCATCTTTTTTTTAACCAATTACAACTTGTTATTAGTTTATCAAAGTATAATACAAAGGAAAAATAACCCATGGAAAAGTAAGAAGAGAGGAAGGGGGGGAAAGGGGGTATACTGTAATGAGAGAAAAAGAAAAGAAAAAGCCACCAACTTCCAGCTCTCTTTGGCACAATCAGAGGTAACAATATTACAACTACAACTTTTTGCTTTTACACAGCAATATGTACAAGCCATTTCTATAACAATAAGCCTGTTGATAAAAACAGAATCAACATTTCATTTTTCCTTCCTCATTGCAAACACAAAATCAAGAAGCAATTTCGAACTAGAGACAAAATTAAATATAATCTCTTATTTATTTATTATTCATATTTCTATGCCACCCACTCTCTGAGGACTCTGGGTAGCTTACACCAAAGACAGTATACTAAATAGCATATTTTCCCCAACAATCTAGGTCCTCATTTTACCCACCTTGGAAGGATGGAAGGCTGAGTCAACCTTGAGCCGGTGAGATTTGATCTGCTGATCTGCTGAACTAGCAGTCAGCTGAAGTAGCTGCAGTACTCCACTCTAACCACTGCGATCAGCAGCCCTGTAACTCCCCCTTTGCATATTTTTATCCAGTTCTTGGTTAATTTTAATATTGTAATTCTTAATGTTGATTCTTTTGATGTTTTCACTGTTCTTGTTGTTTTATTTTGTGTTTTTGGGCAGTTGTAAGTTACCCAGCGTCCCATGACAGTGATATAGGAGGATATATACCTTGTTTCCCCCAAAATAAGACATCCCCTGATAATAAGCTCAATCGGGCTTTTGAGCACATGGCAATAAGGCCAAGCACTTATTTCAGGGTTCAAAAAAATATAAGACAGGGTCTTATTTTCAGGGAAACACGGTATTTGATAAATTAGAAAAATATATACATAATGTATATTGGTGTATTGTAAGTCAGCTCCCATTTTAAATTCTTTAATTGAAGATTCCGCTTGTACCCTGTTGCATGATGGTCATTCTTATCAATTTCTTGGTGAATATTAATGTTTTCATTCTTAATGTTGAATCTTTTGATGTTTTTCTTCTTCCTCTGGTTTCATATTACATTTTTATTCATTCATATATCTTATCTATTGTTGTTACCTGATGCTTCTTTCAAGGTAATTCAGTGAATCTGCATTACTACTAGCGATAGGACGACACTTGATGATGGTGTGGGACCTGTAGCCCTCCAGATGTTTCTGAATTGTGTCAGTGTCCCTCAACATCAGTAGATGGAAAAGTGCAGTTTAGCAAGATTTGGAGGGCCATATTTTCTACTTCCTTGATGGTCCCTGTTACCAGTGAACCAATCAAAGTAACTATTGTTCCTAGTATAGTCTTGCTTTAGGGAAGAGGAAATTATCAGTACGTTTTCACCATCGAATTTGTTCTTCAGTGTTTTCCAAAAATAGAATGTTTCTGGGCAAAAGAGTCAGTTATCACATTTCTGCAAGTAAGGCAATTCTTGTCCATGCATCAAACCACTGCATTATTCCTAGGAGTTTGAGGAAGAAATAATGTCACTATAAATTGATTCTTAACAGCCTGATATCATTTTAAAAATGTAGTAATAAGTTGCCTAGAGCTTTCACAGAAAATGTCAAATGATACACCAAGTTCTTAACTATTGGAGGACTTTTTTTAAAAATGAAAAATGACTGGCAAACTGTCACCCATTCTAACTACATACTCCAATATTACATGGCTGTGTACTTGTTGGATCTGTAAAATACTGGCTTGTTATCCAATATATGGTCAGACCAACAGAGTGCAATCTCGTTGTACTAGTTGGGGAATTCCGAAGTTCAAATCCATGTATCTCAAAATAGCTGAGGTTGAAAAACACAGACTTAAATGACATTCAAGTCTTCAATCTCCTCCCCTCCAAAAATGGGACCTAGTAGCAGACACACTCAAGAATTGTGCTTCCCCTGCAATAGACAATAGCATTTTTGCACATCAATGCTTCTGCTCATTGGACATCCACACAACTATTTTAAATACCTACCTAGAGTCACTTCGAAAAGAGATGGGCAGCAAATAAATGTAATAAATAAACAAAGAATACTGGTCACACTATCTTTAAAATTTATTTTTTTAAGAACTTCACATTTCTAAAAGTGTATTACATTGTAAAACATACAAACATGTTCCAAACAATCCAATAAAGACTGTGAAGTGATGACGAAATCCCCTGTTCTCCCACTGTTTCGGCTTTCCTCACCAGATTTAGCAAAGGAGGACATGCTCTGGGTGCCTTCAACTAAACGGTGTCATCTTGTTGGACGCAGGAATCATGCCTTCTCTGGCAGTGTTGGCTTTGTGGAACAGTGTGCCTGTTGCAGATGGTCCTGTTCCTTCATAAGGTTCTGTAACCCTGGCTGTTTCCAAGTTTTCAGGCCAGGAAGTCAGTCAAGTTGATGTGATTGGATGATTGAAATGTATCATTTACATCATCAAATGTATCAATAACAGCTTTGTGGGCTGTTATTTTTAACTATTGGGTTTTTAATCTAGGCAACCTTTCGATCAACAAGCTCAGTGTCTTAGCTACTGAGCCACCGCGTCCCTTTAGAGGATGTGCTCCTCTAAATGGTGAGAAAGAACAAGAGAAAAATTCAGCTGAGTTTACAATGTATTTGGAATAATTTGTAAATCAAGCAGATTTATGGTATGGCAGGATTCAAAGAAAGGAAGTTGATTAGGAAAAAAACCCTACAGTACTGTGATTTTCTGTTTCTTTCAGAAAAGGGATAAGTCCTCCCAATTTTTGTTACAATAGTTTGGACGGTCATCAAATGTGTATCCAAAAAAATTCATTTAAATGTCTTTTACACATCGTTTACCAAAAACAAAATAGCAGCATATCTATGCTTCCAACAGAAATATTTAATTCATATGAAATATAGCAAATAATGTTGAGTGAACTTTCTGTTGTTGGTTAGAAGGTATTCCAAGAGTGACCCTCAGATACCATCAGAGAAACATCTGGTTATTCTCCTTCTCTGTTATCCTTCAGAGTGCAAGGTCCATCAACTTGATGCCTTCCAGCAGTGTTTAAATTTCATCTCCCACCATTAGCATTAAAATTAGAGATGGTGGGTTACAATCAAGCATATTTGGAGTTTATCTCGTTGAGGAAGATAGCGTGATTTTAATTATATAGATAACCTTACAGGAATAAACAGTTAATATTGATAACTTCAATAGATTGATCAACAATCTATTCATTTTTTTCTTTTTATGACCCTTTAATCCCTTGTCTTGGATAGGGTCAAGGAGTTTGAGTTGAGCTGAGTGTTTACAGACCAGATGCCCTTCCTGATGCCTACGCAGTGTCCACAGCAGCTATTTTCTCTTTGCGCCCTGATAGAAAAACATCTGTCGTTGCCTAGGATTAACTCTCAACCTTCTGAGGGGGAGCTGAGCATCTTCACCTCTCAGTTACCGCACCACTCAGTGATTTATTCATTTATTACTTGCAAATGAATGGCTTTTGTATAAAGGATTTTTTTTTTTTTTACAAAAAGTTTAGGAATGTTGACAAGGTTGTGAGAGTTTGAGCTGACGATTCTCTTCTGATTCATCTTGACCTATTTTATTCCTTCTACAAATGAAGCAAAAAACCCTATTCTACAGAAAGGATCAGGTATCTAAACCAGTATGAACATTAATCTGCTGTTGATCTTAGCAATATGTGCAATAGCAGACACTGTAACCAAGAATTTCTTAGCAGAAAATTAGTGTGGAAAGGATTATCTAGGGAACATTTGAAAGCCACTACAGTATATTAACATAGATTTCTCCAATCTACTATCCTCCAGAAAGGTTGAGGTGGAACTCCATAGGCTTTGCTGGCTGTGGATAATGGGAGTTAGTCTACCCATCTGAAAGGCTGGCTTAATACATCATAAAGTGATGAGAATACTTTTCTTATGGCTTGAGATGACAACTGATATTCTATAAACTGTTGCCAATGTGTGGTTTGACTATTCTATTAAAAAGGATCATGCAAAATGTGAATCACCACCTATATATTATACATCTGCTATCAATGGTTGTAGGAATAATCCCGCTGTTCCAAATACACAGAGAATTATGAACACCCACAGAAATACTCTATCGATTACCATGGCGACATATTTCCAGTCATCTTCTACCTGCAATGCATAAGAAAATACATATATATTCAATTGAATTCATAATATTTAATTGACAATATTAAAATGACGCTGTACTTCCTGAGATTTCTCAATTACTTTTTTTTTTTCAAAAAAAGAGATACATTTATAATCTTCATATAGATTCATATATAGAACATTTGTTGGTGTAACTGCAGGTCACAAGATAAAATCTTTGTATAGTTTTTTTATCTAATTATTATAATATTTTGGTATTATTTGTAAAGAAGAATTTGGCACAGCTTTCTGCTGTCATATTGGATGCAATCCACATTGTCCCAATTTATCAATAAATTACAGAACATTTAATTTCTTTTACGTAAGTATTATGTTATATCTACCTACAAATGTTTTATTGATAAGAAATACAAAGCCTTCCATAATTGCTAGCTACCAGTCCCACTGGTGTTTGGAGCTGGGTGTTTGGATCACGCTGCTGACAAGATCTGTTTGGAGCTGTAATTCAACAACATCTATAAGATCAGAGAAGTTCCCACATCTCTGCATGTGAGTATACTTTAGAGCAGTGGTCCCCAACCCCCGGTCCGCGGACCGGTGCCGGGCCGTGGAGTACCTGGCACCGGGCCGCGCAGCGGCCGGGGGACATGAACGCTGCAGCGCAAAGGCTCCTGGGCCGTGCGCAATGGGCCGTGCGCAAAAGCTCCTGGGCCGTGCCCCCACCCCTGCGCGCGCTCAGCGGGCCGCGGCGATAAAAAGGTTGGGGACCACTGCTTTAGAGTTCTAAACAAGACTGTACATCTTTTAGGTGTTATAGTATATACAGTATTTTTCAGACTATAAGATGCTCCGGACTATAGGGCGCACCTAGCTTTTGAGGAGGAAAACAAGAAAAAAAAATCTGCCTCTGCCTCCCAGCAATTTGCTTCCTTGCAGCAAACAGCAAACAGCCTGGTCAGCTTCACCACAGCCTGATTTAGCACGAGCAGCTGATTGGCGGCTGGATCGGCCTCATGGAATACCGATGATCAATTGTTCCAGGTTGCAAGGATCACCATTGCTTATCGCTGCCTCCGCGCGCCCCATTTTAGGTCTCTGCACATCCCATTTTTGGCCTGTTCTGGGTGGTGGGGATTGCCACTGCTGCCTATCGCCGCTAAACAGGATACATGGAAAATGGGATGCATGGAGGCCAAAAATGGTGCACATGGAGGCCAAAAACGGAACATGCTGAGGCTGAAAATGGGGCACGCGGAGGCAGAAAATGGGGCACGTGGAGGTGGTAATAGGTGGCGGCGATCCCCACAGCCTGGAACAGCTGATTGTTGGTATTCCGGGAAGCCAATCCAACTGCCAATCAGCTGCTCATGATAAATCAGGCTGTGGTGGAGCTGAACAGGCTGTTTGCTGCAAGGAGGCAAATTGCTGGGAGGCAGAGGCCAAAGGGTGGGAGCCGGTAGATGGGTGGGGCTTCAGCAACATTCACTTTATAAGATGCACAGATAGGATAACTCCTGTAAAATTGTCTCTCTGGTACATAAATGACTTTATGTATATATACACAACCGTTATTTTTGTTGGTGATAGATCTTGACAAAAATGGTCTTTGAGAACCATAAAAGTAAGAAATATTTTGATGTCCAAATTTAACTAGCAAGTCAAAATCATATTCCTTTCCAAAACTAAAATAAAGATGTAGAGAAAATCCTTCTTCTTAGTTCCTATCATGCCTCTGGCCTTCTATTCAATAAAAATATAGTACAGTCAACATCTCTTCTTTTAGAGAACTGAGGACAGAAAGCCAGATGCTTTCCTTTTTGCACTAGGAAGTTTTCCACCAAAATTTATATTTGCTGGAGGTTCTATTCTCTGAACCTCTGATTGCCACAATTAACCCAGGCTTAGCTATAACACTGCAGTTTGGATCCTGTATACTGTACGTGCTTGGCTATTTTTCAAAATATCTTCTATGTTTCTGCACATCAGCACAGCCTGTAGAATTCAATAGACCTTCATTGATCAAGTGCCATTTTAGGATGAGGGCCTCTGTCTTAGAGCTTCTACATGTCTATTTAGAGCCTTATTGCCAAAGTCAGAGAGCCTCCCAACATGAAATATTTATACATTTAAGTATCCAAAGCCATTAGCACAACAGCTGAAGTTCATTTTAAATGCCATCGTACCCTTTTGCAGCTAATGTGAACATAGTGTCAAAAGTATTTTGACTAGCAAAAGGCCCAGCAATGGATATACAGTGGTACCTCGGTGCTCATTGTTAATTGGTTCCAGGAGGTGTGACGAATACTAAACATGATGAGTGCCAAACAAACCACTGTTTTACCAGGTGACCCTTGGTTTTGTCCAGGAAGAACTTCCTGTCTGTCTCTTTTCCGATATCAGTGAAGTGACCTTCCCACCATGGCTGACTTCTTGTCTATTCTCTGTAGCCATCCTTTTCTTTCTTTCTTTCTTTCTTTCTTTCTTTCTTTCTTTCTTTCTTCTTTCTTTCTTTCTTTCTTTCTTTCTTTCTTTCTTTCTTTCTTTCTTTCTTTTTCTTTCTTTCTTTCTTTCTTTCTTTCTTTCTTTCTTTCTTTCTTTCTTTCCTTCCTTCCTTCCTTCCTTCCTTCCTTCCTTCCTTCCTTCCTTCCTTCCTTCCTTCCTTTTTGCAGCATGGTGAGTAGCAAACAAACAACGAGTACCGGGACAACATTTTCACATCAAAATGCATCAAGTACCAAATTCAAAGAGTTTTGAAGCAGTCGAATACTGAGGTACCACTGTACATGAAGATACTTGGTTAATTGGACTCTTTCAACTATCTATTCATCTTTGCTCTTGATTAGTGTTCCTTAGCCTGTTGTCCTGAACTTCAGCTACCATAGCTGTTCTCTTGCTGCTAGAAATTCACAGGTCTTCAGATTTGGAAGGTATCTGGTTTGGGACAGCTGGGCATCTACCAAGTCCCATAACTCAGTAGGAGGCCAATGCCAACCCTGGAACTACTACTCCTTCTTTCTCCTTCTTGCATTGTTGCCTGTTTATCTGTCTCCTTGAAGAGAATGAACAATGAAAGGAAGAAGGAGCAAGAATCTTCACAGAGCCATTATTATGTTTTGGCATCCGAAAAAGAAAGCATGGAGTAAGTAAGCAGTGAAAAGCCAGGCAAGGAGATACAAGCACTCAGTGTTTTGCAAAGGGGCTCTCAAACACTTCCCTGGGTGCTCTATATGCAGTTGGTTTGCCTTGTCTTTGTGTTAGTTGTATTAGCCTAGCATTATCCTATGTCAGTCTGCACCTAGTTAGATCACAACTATGGTTTTCCCTTTCCCTTACTGGAATGTAGAATCAGTTGGTCTCCCTTTTCTACAATTGTGTTTACTCTGCCATCAACAGTTAGATGATCAGTGTTAAGCAATGCAAGAGATAGTTGTGTCCACTATCATGGCTTAATGGTAGAGGACATGTTTCGCCCACAGAAGGCTTCATGTTTAAGCCACAACCATTTCCAGTGAATTTTTTCTAAAGCTCCGGAGAACTTCTGTTAATCAGCTGAATCTCATTCAGGGCAATCCCTGAAATTGTGCCTCTGGTAATTGAGACACAGCTAGCATGAGGTCCCTTTTGTCCTCTCTGTAGTCCTCTCTGTTGATAGAGGAAACTGAAAACCAGAGTAGAATGTCCTACCCAATTTCACTTCTTCTTGCACAGGGGTGTCAAACTGGTGGCCTGTGGGCTGGATGCATCACGTGCAGGCCACACCCACCCCAGCTCCGCAAAGGCAAAAACCGTCATGATACATCATATGACACGATCGAGTTTGACACCCGTGTTCTAGCAGGACTTAACAATTCTGATGCTGCTTAAAACAGCTCCATTTGGCAGTCGCTTACCCATTCATGCCAGAAGTGTTGCATCATTTTACCTCTCTAGCTCTCAGGTGCAGTTATTTTCAACTAACTAGGTTTAGGTTTCTACCGCAATTAGAGAAATGCCCCCAAATGACTGAAGCCTTTGGAGCTAGAAATCAATCAATCTTGTTCTTCAGAGCTCTTACCTCTTTAGTTTCATTCTGACTCCTCATGTTTTCTGCGATGAACTGAACACTGTTAATGACTTCTTTAACCTCTGGGGAATACTCGACTGGCTCAGCCTCCCTTTTGGCAGATTGGCCACTCTGTCTCCTTTGCTTCCTCACCCCCGTGTCCTTGGAGTTGTCACAGTGGCAGCAGCGGTTCTCACTGAGGACTTTCACTTCTGCAAGCTCATCAGCCTTGGGCTTGCTGGGTTTAGTGGCACTTTCTTTCACAGGTTTGGGGGGTTGGGAGTCGACATGTTTCTGTGTGGGTCTCTTCATCATCAGAAACTTGGGCAGAAGACCAAGGAAGACAGTTTTGACCCAGTTGGGCATTGTATGCATAGTTGGAGTCCGGTAATGGATATTCAGTACAAACACTGTCACCACAATAGAGAGTGTCACAAATATCATGGTGAACAGCAAGTATTCTCCCACTAGTGGGATGACCAAAGAAGTTGAGGGAATTGTCTCTGTGATGACCAGCAAGAAAACAGTCAATGAAAGAAGGACAGAGATACAAAGTGTTACTTTCTCTCCACAGTCAGATGGAAGATAAAATACTAATACAGTCAGGAATGAAATGAACAAGCAAGGTAAAATCAGATTAATGGTGTAAAACATGGGGAGCCTTCGGATATAAAAAGAGTAGGTTATATCCGTATAGATTTCCTCACAGCAGTTGTACTTGATGTCATGTTTATAGCCAGAAGCATCGACTATTTCCCATTCATTGTTCTCCCAAAGGTCTTTCATGTCTACTTTGGAACCGATAATCAAAAGATCTATCTTGGCTTTGTCATATGTCCACGATCCAAATTTTAAGGAGCAGTTCTGGTGATCAAAGGGGAAGAAGGTAATATCCATGGGGCAGGAGCTTTTAAAAATGGCAGGTGGTATCCAGGTGATGGTGCCATCGTATCTGAGAAGAGCCTTGGTCCGTCCTTCAACCTGGAAATCTCCAACAGCACTGCAGATGCAAGCACAAGGGAATCTTAAATTGTACACTTCTAACTCAAAATAAACATGTTAATATGACTAAAATACAATGATGAATGTTCATACTTATTGTATAGCACAATATCAGGTTTCCAAATTTTGTCTGACGGCACGTGGATAAATTCAATTCCACCAAATTCCACTGGATTCCATTTCAATTTATAATCATTCCAAATCTAAAGAGAGAAATAATAAGTGTTCAACTCTATGATATACTGTACCTGTAAAGTTATTCTCATACTAAGAATATTACTGAAGTTGCCCTCAAGGTATTACAGTGGTGCAGTCATCATGACCATTAGAGCTGAGGTGGCGCAGTGGTTAGAGGGCAGCACTTCAGGCTACTTCAGATGACTGCTAGCTCAGTTCGGCAGTTCAAATCTCACTGGCTCAAGGTTGACAGCCTTCCATCCTTCCGAGGTCAGTTAAATGAGGACCCAGATTGTTAGGGGCAATATGACGACTCTGTAAACCGCTTAGAGAGGGCTGTAAAAGCACTATGAAGCGGTATATAAGTGCTATTGCTATTGGTAATGAATATTGGGAGTATTGGGAATATTGGGAATATCCTGAGGATTGCTACAATTTCTCTATCCCTGAATTATTTGAACAATGAAACATAGAATAATAGGGTTGAAAGGGATTTGGAGGTCTTCTAGTCCAACCTCCTGCTCATGGCAGGAGATCCTATACCATACTAGACAAATGGCTGTCCAATCTTTTCTGGAAAACCTTCCGTGTTGGAGCACCCACAACTTCTGAAGGCAAGCCATTCCACCGATTAATTGTTCTCACTGCCTGGAAATTTCTCCTTAGTTCTAGGTTAGATTTCTCTTTAATGATCTTCCACATGTCTTGTCCAGATTTCAGGTGCTTCGCAGAAGAAATTGACTTCCTCTTCTCTGTGACAGGTCCTCAAGTATAGGAGGACTGCTATCATATCAACCCTAGTCCTTCTCTTCATTGGATTAGACATACCTAGTTCCCTCCATCGTTCTTTTGGACTCATGAGATTGGGAATGAGTTTCAAGTTAATAACTCCCCTTCTTTGTTTCTTCTTCTTCTTCTTCTGTAATAGTCCACTAAAAATATAGTGAAGACTCAATTTGGTTTACTTTGGTTTAGCAGACTTAGGAGTTAATGGATCAAATTTCCTGGATAAGAAGGTATGTTTCCTCCACTAATGCCATTGTTGCCTCTGAAATCTCTTCTCGCTGTTTGCTGAATCTGGTTTGTAAACTAGGGCGATGGTTCTGACCAATCCAATCTCTAAGGAGTTTCTTGCCTATAGTTCATTTTCAGGTGCACTTATGGTTACTAGAATACTTTTAATCATAGTACTAGCCCTCAAACATCCATTGCTTGTGTTGCCTTTTTTCCCTGGCTGTGACTTTAGTTCCTGCCCTCTCTTTTGTTTGTTGTTCTCATCTCATTCATCAATGAATGGACCTTTTGCTTTAAGGAACACCCATCTCCCTTGTTTATCCATTAAATCAAGGGCTTAATATATTGAAGAATAAATGGATGAATTTTTGAAGTACTACATATGTGCTTTCGCTATGAATATACTGAGCCCTGGAACATCTCTAAATAGTTCCTGATTTTTTTTCCCTATCCAAATCTCTTCTGAATCCCAGTACCCATTATGATCTCATCTCTAAAACCAGCATGGCAATAAACACACACATACACTGACACACCGATGCACAAAATTTTGCTTACATGTCGCAGCCAGAGATTTGTCTCCATGATCTGATTGACTTCATCCTGCAGACAGAAGGAGGCAAACACTTTATTTCTACAGACAGGCTATCTGGTTAACAAAGGATAAAACCTCATTCCAGTTAGCCTAAATAACTTTGAAAGGATCCTGGGGACATTTATGGAACAGCGAATAGAAGTCTTGGTTGAAAAATGTGTTGCCTTCAGATAATGTCTGTGGACGTTTGTGAATACTTTACTTACAACTATTGAAAACAAGATGCTGAAAAAGTATTTGTGCATATTAAAGTAGATCCAGATAGTTGTTGGCAATGCATTTTTAAAAATTACAGCCCTATTAATGTTTATTGAAAAACTACAGCCACATAAAGAAGATCGGTTGCATGTTCTATACATGAGATCTCTAGGAGAGAGGATTAAGCAGGATCCAGGAGAACTCCATAGGATCGCAGTAGGAGCATCTGTGAGGGTATGTTCAAAAAAGTCAAGTTGGTAATCAGTACAACATGTGTAAATAAGGGGTAAAGTTTTGGTTGCATGGATGCAGCCACTGAGTAGCATGTCCTCTTCCCATCTTTTTCCTGCTGTTCCACTGCTTTCCTGGCAATCGGTCACAAAATATTTGTATTCAACACAATTCTGTTTGTACCCCAAGCATGGACTTTGCTACTCTTTACACCGCAAACTAGTTCATCTGAAGTTATCCATGGGGGATTTGTAGAAGATTAAGATGAGTACCATCTTATTAACATTAAGGAACACTGTACTAATAGTGATCTTCTTCAGGAGAATCCGAAAAAGGTAGAGAGTAGTGATGGGATTTGAAGTGTAAAGGTAAAGGTTCCCCTCGCACATATGTGCTAGTCATTCCCGACTCTAGGGGGCGGTGCTCATCTCTGTTTCAAAACCGAAGAGCCAGCGCTGTCCAAGATGTCTCTGTGGTCATGTGGCCGGCATAACTAAACACCAAAGGCTCACGGAATGCTGTTACCTTCCCACCAAAGGTGATCCGTATTTTTCTACTTGCATTTTTTACATGCTTTCGAACTGCTAGGTTGGCAGAAGCTGGGACAAGTAACAGGAGCTCACCCCGTTACGCGGTACTAGGGATTCGAACCGTTGAACTGCCGACCTTTCGATCGACAAGCTCAGCATCTTAGCCACTGAGCCACCTCATCCCTATATTTGAAGTGTGGCTTCAACTAATTATGCTCTTCTGTTTTGACAATTGTAAGGAATCTAGAGCTTTGAGAATAGATCTCATGCAAATGATGGACTGTCTGAACAAATAAGTCCAGGATTTTGGCCAGGAGGTTAGTTTTCAAAAAAGCATGATGGGAAGAACCAATGTTAGCAGGTACAAAAGGAGTAGTTTTAAATGCACTCTAATACCCACATACAATGAAACTCTAATATCAATGCTGCTCATTCAAGCAGAATTCCAAACTCATCATAATCCCAAGATCCAAAGGAGCTCAGAATATAGCAGCTTTTCTAATTATTTTGTTAATGACAGCAGCTTCTGATTAATGAAAAGCCTCCAGGGAAAGTAAAAGATAAAGTGAAGAACCTGACTTGATTAGTATATTGCGCCTCTGAATACTGTGATTTAGCAATAAGCAGAGAAAGAAGCTGAACTCTGTTCCATCGTGCTGTCTTGATACCCTGTAATTTAAGCCGTTGGTTAGCGGCTGGCTTGCTAGTCAGAGAAATCCCAAGAAAACATATTATATGCAGAGTGTCTTTTTTTTTTTTTTTTTGCTGAAAGATCTTTACCTATAATAAATTGTGGTGGAAAGGCAATCAATAACCAGGGAGTTGCTAGAGGGAAGTCTTACTGCAGAGAACATCCTGAATGATCTGCTAAGAGGGAGAGAAACCTGCAAAAATGAATCCTTAGTAAGCTCTCCAGCAAGAAATCTAAAGGTTCTTTTACAAAAGACAAATGGACTGAAAAAACACACACACCAAAATCCAGTTGCTTTTTGGAAAAGCACCTTGGGGACACACTAGTGATGCTTTCTCTCCTTTAGTCCCTGGTGATGAGTGATCTTTAATCCTTGGCAAGGAATATTTCTTACTTTTCAGTCAATGACTGAAATGTGAGATGGTGCAAACCCTGCAAACATAGCAAACATACCACATTTGCAAGCTGGGTAATTGCCACTTCAAAATGCACCTTCACGGGATAGGACACATTTTCTACAGGTCTGATGTACTGGTTGTAACGGGAGAACAGTTTGCGAAAAAGTCTTTCTTCCGATTTACTTGCCAAACAACCTGGGTAGGAAAAAAGGAAATAAGAATAATAAGTCCTTCAAAGTGAGGTAAGGTCACTAGCTGGTGATATGCTGGCTGGGATAATGGAAGTTGGTTCAAAATACATGGAGGATATAGAGTGGGGGAAAGTTGATTTAGATTACATAAATTCCAATTATTCAGCTGTTTGTAAGTGTATGGCACTACTGCATGTGGGTTTCTAAATTAATGCCCTTTGATTCAACAACTTAATTTGAAGCAAATAATAAATAACAGGCATTGACAAAGTCCCCATCAGTCAATTGCAAAAGGCAGCTTTACTTGGAACAGCTTACATCCTGAGATAATTTCTTGAACAGCTTTCTGGAACAGTTTACATCATGAGACCATCAAACAAGAACATCTGCCTATCCCAGATCCTTGGAAAGGACTCCATAGGCAGATAAAAATGCCAAGACCAGTCTAAACATCTGGCTGACTACGCGACGAATCATAATAATAATAGTAGGACAGTATACATCAGGCAATTCCCATGCTAAATAAATGGGAATAAAATTGATCATGGATTCATATCACAAATATGGATTGCAGATTGGGAAAAAAAATAGCTTGACTAAGACTTACATATTGATTAGATGAAAAAAACATTCATATAACTTGCATCTGTGCATAAGCGACTGTCTCTTCAGAAAGTTAGTGTTACAAAGGGTAACGGGATGTGAAATAGTTAAAAAAGTCAAGTATTTAGGAGTTTATATTGCATCTTCTAATGGTAAATTGTATAAGTATAATTATGAATTGATATGGCATAAAATACAAGTTGAAATGGATAATTGGAAAAAACTACAATTGTCCTTGTTGGGTAGAATAGCAGTTATAAAAATGAATGTGTTGCCTAGGTTTTTGTTCCTCTTTCAAATGATACCAATACTAAAAAAGGATGCCAACCTGGAAGAGTGGCAGAAAGGTATTAATAAGTTCGTATGGCAAGGTAAGAAACCAAGGATAAAATTGAAAATAATGCAGGACATACGAGAAAGAGGAGGACTGAAAATGCCAAATTTAAAATTGTACTATGAAGCAGCTGTTTTATCAGCAATTAGTGATTGGATTAATTTAACAAATGGAAGGATATTGAATATTGAAGGGTATGATCTGGTCTATGGTTGGCATGCTTATTTAGTGTATGAAAAAAGGGTGGACAGAGCATTTAAGAGTCATATACTGAGAAATGCTTTATTGCGTGTCTGGAAGAAATATCAATATAAGTTAAATGAAAAAATACCTATATGGACAGCACCCAGGCACGCAATAGAGAATACGAGTATAGAATGTAGACAGGATGTAATTACGTATAAAGATATTCTCATTATGGAGGGAGGTATATTAAAATTAAAATCTGTGAATGTGTTGAAAGAGGAGAAAATAATTCAAACATGGTTTCAATATGTACAGTTACAAGCCAGATGGAGAAAAGACCAGAAAACTGGTGTTATACAAAGTGACGAAAATTTAATTAAACAAATTAGAGATCAAAGCCCAATGCATATAAAAAGATTGTATAATATACTGATAGAGATGGACTCGGAAACAGAGCTAGTTAAGGACTGTATGATAAAATGGACGCAGAATTTTGAACAGCCAATAATGATGGAAACGTGGGAGAAAATATGGGTAACAAATGTGAAATTTACCAAAGCGCAAAATTTAAGGGAGAACTTTTATAAAATGTTTTATAGATGGCATCTAGATCCAAAAAAGTTATCTCGTATGTATCCGAATGTACAACCAAAATGTTGGAGATGTAATTGTGAGGATGCTACTTATTTTCACATTTGGTGGACATGTAAAAAGGTTAAAGCGTTTTGGATTAAAATCTGGTGGATTTTACAAAATATTCTTAAAAAGAGGTTGAAATTTACACCACAGCTGTTTCTTTTGGGTATAGTTACGGATTGTACAGTTATAGAGACTAAATTGATTTTGAATTTAATAACTGCAGCAAGACTGTTGGTGGCACAATATTGGAAGAAGCAAGATTTACCTACAATCCAAGAGTGGACAATGAAAGTTATAAATCTAGCGGAAATGGCAAAAATCTCGGCGTACCTGAAGGATCATTCAAATGAAAGATATTTAAGAGACTGGGGAAGGTGGATAGATTATATTCAAAATAAATATCGGAATAAGAAATTGCAGATAGGTTATGAATGATTATATAGATATTTAGTGTGTCTTTAAGTAATAAAGCTAGGCGGGTAATTAGGGAATTGAAGAAACAAGAGATGTGAAATGTCATAATTGTTTAGATTAGGATTGATTATGATTGTTGAAGTTTATACCCTGTAATTTGTTCTGGGAAGGGGAGGGGGGAGGGGGGAGGTTGAGGTAGGGAAGGGGGGGGAAATATGTAAACTTTTTGTAAAACTTTTCAATAAAAAAAAAGAAAAAGAAAGTTAGTGTTCAATCCATTTGGCATATTGCACCCATCTATACTCCCAAAATCCATTGCCATTAGTGACTGCTGAGGGGAGTCAAAGCCCCAAGTCTCTGAAAGGCATCTATTCATGTAGGATTGCCAAATTCATCCTGTCTTTTTACTGAGCAGTGAATTGGTGCTGTGTGCTCTCTCCCCACAGCTTGTTCCTGGACAAAAATGTCTTGACCACTGAAACCTTTTGGTCCTCCTCCTGTCTTTCACAAAGTAAGTAAATAGGAAGAACTTCGTGTTATCATATCCCTTTTCTAGAACAAGCTTATGAGAGCTTTCTATGACACCTCATCCTACGTCTTTGTCTAGGCTTTAAATTTCATGTTTTATAGAACATCTAAACCAAAACATAAACTCTGTATTTTAATCTCAATATCGCCCCCCCTTCTTCTCAATACAAGTAGTCCTCGATTTATGACCACAATTGAGCCCAAAACATATGTCACTAAGTGAGAAATTTGTCAAGAGAGCTTTGTCCCATTTTTTATGACTCTTTTTGTTGTTAAATGAATCACTGCGGTTGTTAAATTAGTAGCACGGTTGTTAAGTGAATCTGGCTTCCCCATTGACTTTGCTTGTCAGAAGGTCACAAAAGATGATCACATGACCTTAGGACACAGCAATGGTCATAAATATGAATTTTGATCACATGATCACAGGGATGCCTCAAAGGTTGTAACAGTGAAAAATGATCATAAGTCACTTTTTTCAGTGCCATTGTAACTTTGAACAGTCACTAAATGAACAGTAGTAAGTCAAGGACTACCTGTATGTACAAGCAATATTCTATTATCCATTATCTCAACGATGGTGTTCTCATCTCATCCATGAATGAGATTGGCTTAAGTTGTCCTGGGTCACTATTGATGTAGTGCTTTCCAGAATGGGACCTTCAGGCTTGGCTGCACCACTTTCTCCTCCAGGCTTCCACCTCTGCTGGCCCTCTCCCAACCATCTGCCCAACTTTACAGTTGCAAAATGGGTAAGACTTGCAAAGACAGGTGACCAGTTGTGGGTGGGATTAAATCAAGGCTTGTTGGCTATTTTAAATGAATTCAGGCACCCCACCCCCCCTTGCTCCCATGGGTCTCTAGAGACTCTCCATCTCTCACACAGTTGAACACAGCGGTTGCTGTGCCAGTGATCTATTAAAGCTGTGCAATGGCAATGCTCAAGTGTTTTACCCTATAGCCCTTGTAAGTTTAGCCCAAAGTTGAAGAGGTGAAAAGAGAAATTATAGGCAGAATCCATCCACAGAAAGGAAAAGAAGGGAGAGAAATTCTAAATTGAGGTGTATCTATGGTTACTGTTTAAGCTGCTCTATGTATTTGTGTAAACAAAGTTGAAGTATAAAAATGCACATATCTGGAATTTTAAAAAAAGAACCTCCTAGTACCGTGATGGCGAACCTATGGCACGCGTGCTCAAGTGGCACGCGAAGACATGTCGCCCAGCACGCGCAGCCTTGCCTGTTTGTCTTCTGGGTTTCTGGCATGCATGTGCATGCGATGATTAGCTGTCCTTCGTGCATGCGGCAGCGTCAAAAACCAGTGTGCGCATGCGCGCTGGTCAGCTGATTGTCAGGTGTGCATGCGCGCCAGAACACAGAAGTTCGGCTTTTCCAGAGTGCGATCCTTTTGCACACACAGCAGTGCCAAAACCCGGCATGTATATGCACGCTGGCCAGCTGATCATCAGGCGCGCATGCGAGCTAGAACCCCGAAGTTTGCTTTTCCAGACCGTGGCCCTGATGAGTGTGTGCGCACATGTGCAACGTTTCTGCGTGACCTTTTCAGCACTCGGTGCTGAAAAGGTTCGCCATCACTGTCCTAGTAGTTTGTTTCCAAGCCTTTTCTTACTTTCTATTACCATGAGTTCATTGCACAATTGATATAACCCTTGCTTTGTAAGGGTTTGATGATTTTGAAACCCCTAAAAATTGCTTTTAATCATTTGATTAGTTTTTTCCCCTTTCTCTGACTTTCCTCCTTTTTTCCTTGCTTTACAAAGCAGCCACAGCAAACTCTAGGGTGGGTCATTTTATTATTTTCCCAGTCACTTGAAGTAGAAAGGTTTTACTCCTAGCCCCAAAAAGCCCATAAGTTACACAACAAAGCAGTGCAAGGAAGTCCTCAAAGTTCTACTTCTGATTTAACTCCCTTTGATCAGAATTTTTTTTTTAAAAAAATTGTTATTTAGCTAGTTATGACAGAAAAGGGTGGAGGTGGACAGAGGACAGGCAGGGAGGATAGACTCCTGAAGCAAGATACATCCCAAACCTGCTTCAGTACTATAATTGGTGGATATTTTTTCCCATTGGCTGGTGATATGCAGTGCAGGAAAAACAGCAAAACTGAAGAAATCAACCAGTCATGTTGCATATTATGGACAGTATGTGCAAAATCAGGATGATACCATTTGGCAGTTTGTCAGAGTGGGGTGCAACGGAAGCAGAAGAAGGATCAGCAACAGGACCATTAAATTTAACACAACTTTTGTTTTCTGCTAGGAAGTGTGGGTAAGCAACTCTTTAATTCAGCAAGGGGAAAGGCACAAAAGAAACAGGTTTAGAATAGCTGAACAAAGATTTGAAAGTGATTCTTCGCTCTCTCAATATGGAACTGGACATTTGGGGGGAAAGAGAACCTAAGATTCAATTGATAGACAAGGCTATAGGACAAAGAGCAAGAAAACAAGGCAACAACCGTAGAGTCTGGCAATGTTTCTCAACTTTAAGATGTCTGGACTTTAATTCCCAGAATTCCCCAGGCAACATCATAGAAGAGGGAGTTATTGTTAAGATTTGCAATAGAAAACTAAACAGATCCTATGGGGGTAGGGTGGGAGGCAGGGTTGAAATGCTATTGGTTCGGACCGGTTTGGTCGAACTGGTAGCAATGGCGGTGGGTGATGTGGCCCATACGCGGCTTGTTCAGCTAGTAGCTGATTCAGACAGCAAGGAGGCTGGTGTGGTGCTGTGCCAGCAGCCTGTGCAGCTGGCACTCAAGTCGGACAATGAGGAGGCTGGAGAAGATGTGGTGCCAGAAGCGGGGATTCAGCCAGGGCCTTCAGAACCTCCAGAAGCTCCCTTAAGTGAAGAGGACGAAGAGGAGGAGCCTCTTCTCGATGCATGGGTGGGCAGAGCTGCCAAAAGGCAGGAGTGGCTCCTGAGGAGGAGGTCTCCTCGAGAGTAAGGCTTGGAGCTAATTGGCCACTCCCTTAGCCTATTTAAGGAGGAACGCCGACTAAAGCAATTTGCAGGGAACAACTTCGTTCACATACCTTCTGTCTTGTCTTGCTTATCTTATCAGCTTCCTGCAAATTGCTTCTGGGCATTCTGACAACCACAGTAAGCTTTCAGTTATTATTCTTTGAATTCTTGGCAGCTGTTAGTGCAGTTAATTAACAGCTGTTTTTGTAAAAGACTGATTTATTTATTTATTAAACCAAGGTTTGAACGGACTTTGTGTGTGCTGCATTCTTTGGGGTCCGTAGCTGGGGCAGAACAGTGGGTGGTTCGGAGAACCGGTAGCGACGGCAGCGTGAGGCTCTGCTCACCTGCCCAGTCATCATTACTTCCTGGTTTTAACCAGGAAGTAACCTGTTTTTTACCCTCTGTGCATGTGCAGAAGAGTTTGTGCATGTGCAGAGGGTCCGTGTGTGCACTTGATGTGTGCATGTGAGCGGAGCCAGTGCGCACACACGGTGCATGCACTTCTGAACCGGTAGGGAAGATAAGTAGATTTCAGCTCTGATGGGAGGGGAAAGACACAAGGATAATAGACATAATCCTTCCCAAAAACAAACCTAGTGAAGGCTGAGCATTTTTGGTATTTATGAAATTTTGAGTGACTTTGGGGAGAAAACAACAGCCAAGGGGGATGGAATGAAGTATCCTAGATAAAAATATGGATGATTCCATTTGGAGATATTGCAGGGACATTGTAAGAACTATATCTATATACTATAAATTATAACTATACATTGTAATTACACTAGGTAGTTACTCATTCCATATTGCTTTACATAGACAACATGGTCACTGTTCATTTTTCTTTCCCACTAAAGTTGACTTTCCTAGAAATACACATGCTAAGGCAGTGCTTGAAAAAGTAGGACAACATAAGCTGGAAATCCCAGCATGTGATCATCTCCTGCTTTAGCCAAATTGACTTACTCCTTTATGATCTTTAAAATGGTAGCTAAGAAAACCATCAGATATATTCACAGCAGTCATGCCTAAGCAGCAAAACCGGGCACTATTTGTATGCCCTTTTTGGTGTGAGGCCAGAAGGGGAGCGCTGAACCCTGGAATACTTAAGCACTTACAATTTCACTTCTGGTCCGACAGGCTTCTGAAATGACTGACCTGGTTTGTTTCTGGGCATCTTACGGAAGCTTGATTGGTAGCTGTGTGCTGCCTGTCTTATGAATAGAATATGAAGGCAGATGGGTATTGATTTAACAAGATGTAATGGTATCTGAGAATGACCTTGGGAGACAGTGGGAAAGTCACAGCCAAGGGAATGGTCTGATAAGAGGCATCTTAGCCCATAACAGGAATATGGGTGTGGCAAACAACTCAGAAGGGACCTTCCCTTGTTTCTTAGGTTTTGAGAAAGAAGGCAACCTGGGGAGAAATGTACTACCAGATTTGCAAGAGTCTATTGGTGTAAACCTATGGTTGTCAATGTTGGACCTTAAAAAAGCAAGACAGGAAGAAAATCAACTTGTTTGAGCTGTGGTGCTGGAGAAGACTCCTGCATATTCCTTGGACCAGGGGTGTCAAACTCGTGTTGTCATGGCGGCAGCACGTGACGTATAGTGACTTTTCCCCCCTTTGCTAAACCAGGCGTGGGCGTGGCCAGCGAGTGATGCATCTGGCCCATGGGCCGCAAGTTTGACAGCCCTGCTAACAAGTAAGCTTTGGACTAACAAGTAAATACTGGAGCAGAGTGCTAACACCAGACATGTCACTAGAAGACAAAAATCACAAAACTGTGTCTCCCTTACTTTGGCCATGTCATGCAGGGGGAATTCCCTGGATTATGTTTAGAAGAGTTAGCTGGCTAAGGAATTCTGGGAGTTGAAGTCCACTCCACACATCTTAAAGTTCCCAAAAGAAAGAAACTCTGGTCCACATGCTCAGACACAGCAGCATCAGGTACAGCTGTACAAACTCTGTGGACCAAAATTCAGGGAGATTTCTCTCAATTCCATGTTTGCATTAAAGGGGGGGGCATGATACTTGCCTAGCACTATCATGCCTCTTGATCCACAGAGTATGAGAATTAACAGTTGTCCCATTAAACACTTCATCTGCTCACTTCTGTATTTTACTTTCTTGTTAAAACTACAAACACAGGATAATTTTCCTGCATCTGTCCACTGATCATTCTTGACAAAAGGACAAGAACTAAAATCAAAAGTTCCCCTATGTTGTTCTGGAACAATGGCTGGACAAGTGACTGATTGTAAGCATGAGAATAAGCAGTGTTGCCATATTTTTTTACATCCGGCTTGCACACACATTTTAAAAAAGTTGCCTAATTTGACCAAACTGAATAGGTATTTCCCCTCTCCCCCCATCAATTACCATTTCCCACAACAGAAACCTTTTCTGCTTACAATGTTGTTGTCAGACTTTTTAAAGACATACGCTAGTAAAATGTAGGCAACCATAACTGAAAGAAGGAGCTGTGAACTTTTTCTTTAGATCTAAAAAAAAAAAGGGAGGGGGGCAACTGTCACATTTTGCTTATCACGACTGCCAAAGCTTTGGGATCAAAAGGGAACATTTTGATGTGGCAGCCTCTTAATCCTTGTGTTTTACTTTCTCCACTCATTGTAATCATTCACAAAGTGGCATTTTCAGCCAGATGTCTCAATACCTTACTAAGGAGGTAAATTCCACTGAATTCCATAGGATTTATTCCCCAGTCAGCCACTGTCCAAACAGATCATTCTTCAAGTCAATATACGTGGTAGAAATAGAAGCCAACAGACTAACGCTGCCTCCCAGTATAATACGACTGATTCTGAAATAGTTCATAATTTATACTTTATTACAGTAAATATAATACTTTCTTCATTTAAATTGCAGCAGAGCAAGGAAAGCCCACGTATGCTTTCTCAAGGATGAAAATCAAGTATTTTTTTCCCTTTGGTAACAAAAGAGCCTTAACAATATGTGGGTCATCCTATTTAACAAGGTTTCAGATATTAAAAGCATATAGAAATGGTTTCTTTCCAAATGCACGCAACGGGGTTAAAAAGGCTTAAATTACAAAGGTATAACCCAGAAAGGGCTGGCTGTGGAGGGAAGACTGCCAGAAAGATGGAGAGAAATATAAGAAAATGAACTTACCTTGGAGAAGGAAAAAGCTCACAGGTCCCCTTAAATAGAAAGTGAAATAAAGAAGCACCGACCATTTCTGCAGAAACATTGTTGGAAGAGTAAGTGGATGATTTCTCTCAAGAGAACGAAAGAAATGGGCTTTGAGGATAGAAACAAAGGGGCCAGGAAGGGAATAAGACCCTCAAATCTTCAACGCTGCAGTGGTTATTTCAATTTTGCATCTGGTGCTGCAGTCCTAGCCAGAACAGTGGCTTTCAATAATGCAACATCCTTCAGAGGAGAGAGAAAATCTTCCAGTGATGGGAGAGTTTAACTATCTTGAAGGCAAACTTGACTGATGATTCCTCACGTTTCAAATTTGTATGCATGTGGTATGTATGAAGGGCTACGCACTGGAGAAAGATCTGTGCAGTGGAGACACACCGTGTAGTAGTGTAATAAAAGATGCACATCCCAGGTACTGCCCTGTCTCTCAGGCTGTGCTGCAGTGTGGATCTGAAAGAGAAATGTAGCTTTGAAGCTCTTTCTATTTTTTTTTTAATATTTTGTATACACAAATCTTTGGAACTGTAAGTGGATTGTCTCCTGGTTGTCTTGGCTCAGATGCATGAGAGGCTGAAATCAAAGCAAGAGTGAAACTTACCTGAGCAAGAACTTCAAGGCATGTGGGTGAGTCTCACTTCCCCAATGTTTGCCTACGGACCTATTAAGAAAAGTAATAACTAGTCTAAAGAAAAGAAGAATTAAGGGTGACATGATAGCAGTATTCCAGTATTTGAGGGGCTGCCACACAAAGAAGAGGGGGTCAAATTATTCTCCAAAGCACCAGAGGGCAGAACAAGAAACAATGGTTGGAAACTAATCAAAGAGAGAAGCAAATTGGAATTAAGGAGAAACTTCCTAACAGTGAGGACAATTAAACAGTGGAACAGCTTGCCTTCAAAAATCGTGGGCGCTCCATCAGTGGACATTTTTAAGAAGAGTCCAGACAGTCACTTATCTGAAATAGTATAGGTCCTCCTGCTTTTTTTTAAAAAAAGTTTTTTATTTTTATTTTTCATCAACATATTTAAACGTACAGTCCCTTATCCATCATTAATCATTATTTATTCATCTTATCTTTTTACTTTCATTTGTTAATTAACAAATAAGTCCTCCTGCTTGAGTAGGGGGCTGGACTAGAAGATCTCCAAGGTCCCTTCCTGCTCTATTCTATTCTATTCTATTCTATTCTATTCTATTCTATTCTATTCATACGCAACCTGTCTGAAGTAGAGAGAGAATCCTATTCATTATACTGATGTTCCCACCTTATCTTCATCATGGAATATCCACTTCACTGATTTTTTTTTAAAGTATTAGATTTATATTCCACTTTTAATTTGTACAAGTCAAGGCAGCATACCATATGCTCCCAACTCCTATTTTATCCACAGCAACTCTCCAAAATGAGTCAGGCTGAGAGGAAACAGCCCAAAATCACTCAACTGGCTTTCATGCCAAAGGGAAGAGTTAAATTCAGCCTCCCAGGATGCTTTGCTGATACCCGTAATGGACAAATTTAAAGCTGCGCAGTGAGCAACTTAAAGCTACACACAACCAGGAGCCACATTAATACAACGTGTAGTACAGCCCAGTGCAAATATTCTGGAGAGAGGGAAGTTCCCTGATGATGGGGTCCAGCACGATCCCAAAATCTTGGAAGAATAAAGCTTTGGTCCTAGTGACTCACTCAGATTGGATCCTGCAACATTATTCTGGGACAAACATATATTTACCGCCATTCGCAATGGACAAACTATGGTTCTTGGAGTTGCAAGAAACTCTCTTACTTATTTCAGAATATCCTCCTAAAAATGACTGGTTCAGATTTTTAACAAGGATGATATGCCCCCTCCCCTTGGGTAAGGAAAGAATGAAAAATACTGGAAAAAGAAAAATAACGACACCCCTTCCCACTTTCACCATTAGTTGTTTTTCATAGCTGTCAATTATTTTCTTGCCTATCTCAGCCTAGTGACTCTGGGTGGTTAACAATGCATAAAGACACAAAAACAGAGCAAAATCAAATAAATGCAGTGCAATACAATGCAGCCAAGCCCTTTTAAATAATACTTGCTTTGAAACATAATTAAAAAAATACATATTGGGTTCATATAATATCCTCGCCTTAGTGCCAGGGAGAAAATGCAAGGGTCAGTGCTATCCAATTCTCAGGGGGATTACATCTACCATAATCCTTGACTATTTCCATTGATCAATTTTATTATGCTTCAAAGAGAGATAAAATATAAAGTAACAAAAAAGGAAAAATCAGGAGAGGGAAAAAAGTCAAAAAGTAACAAGGCAGGAAAAAAAAGACTCCCAACATTCTTCAGTTCAGATATAAATACTGAATATAGTAAAACAATCTCTTATTCTAAATTGAAATAGAAACATAGAAACCACCATCATTTTAAAACCTGACCCAGGAACAGACCAAGACATTTTGCTGCTCGGGTCTTGCCCCCAAATTTTAGAACATGAGCTGGCAGTTGCCTTTACAACACTTCAGCCACCCTTCATTTTATCTGAAGAAACAGACAATTTTAGGGGATGCAAAGCAGGGCATAACACACTACACACACCTAATTATCTAATGAGATAATATCTAATGAGATAATAACCAGCCCCAGCAGTGGTGGGTTTCAACCGGTGTTATCACTGGTTCGCTTCACTCGCACACATGTCAAACTTGCACTTCGCGCAAGTGCATTGAACTTCAGAACAGCTGAAGCACAGCAATCCCCTCTACTGCGCCTATCAGCTGGACTAAAAATGAACAAATATAGGTAGGTATAGCGCAGGGCCGGGCGGGAGGGCCCAACTGACAGTCAGACCAAACTGGTTCGCTCTCACTTCACCATTTCTGCTACTGGCTCGCCCGAACTGGGGAGAACCGGTAGCAACCCACCACTGAGCCCCAGAGCAAGTAAGAAATGGGATAAGAAGTAACAGAAGGGAGGGTTGTTGGAACCCACATTCTCAGAGAAGGCTTCCTATGGGAACAGAGTTTACCCTTCTCCTGTTGGGCTCTCCAGGTGGTGGGGGTAGCACCCTGCCTCAGTTCCCAGCACTTCTGGAATGCACAACTACCCTATCACTCTTTTACATGCATTGCCCTCCATATCCTGACTAAGCCAAGAAGAACATTGTCCTTTGCAGGGAGACTGAAAGCAGGTTCCTGCTCAAAGGCCACAAAAAATAACCAATCATTGTTCTCTTCTACTTAGACCCAAGGAGGAAACAAATAACAACCAATTTCCAAGAAACACACTGAATCAGCTGGATAACATCCAAGCACCTACCACTTTTCTCCAACACCTTCTAGCTGTGGTGATTCGTAGCATCTGCCAACCTTTCCTTAGACTCAACCCTCCCAGCACCAACATATGTAAGCAGGTTGGCCCAAAGGAATTTAATGCTTGATAATGAAAGTTTGTTTTCTCCCATCTTCACAGCCTAAAATGTAACTTCAAGAATAGCAGCTATGGTGAGCATAAAAAAGTCTTTCCCATTTTCTAAGTGAATAAAATCATTTAGGTTACCTTATCATGTATAAAGAGACACAGAGAGGCTCAAGGCTCTTCAGCCCAGAACCCAGAATCTAATTCAAAGTGAATATCCCACATCCTGGGCTGTGTTGAAATGTTTCTCCTTTCTGTGACTTTATTCCCATTTTTTAGTAACTTGTTCTTATTATTTCTTATCGCAGTTCTGTTATTTTATTACATTGCTCTTGCATTTCAACCCTTTGGTTGTAAGAAGGGAATACAAACCGCTCAGAGTCCTCTTGAACTGGAGAGTTCAAGCCTGTTAAGTTAATCAAAAAGTAAATAAATCAAAACACTGTATAATAAGATGACCTAAAGGCCAACCTTTATCCAAAAGGAGAGTTTTGCTTATGGTTTGAGAAGGCTGAGAAGAGTGGCTCTGCCTGTAGCACCAGAAGTTGGGCAGAAATGTTTCAGATTATCTTCCCCAGTGTGTGGAGATGTTTTGTTACTTGGTTTTTGTCATTTTAATTAATTTTATGATGGTTTGTAGCAGTGGTGAAATCCAATTTTTTTTCTATCAGTTCAGTGGGCATGGCTTGGTGGGCGTGGCAGGGGAAGGATACTGCAAAATCTCCATTCCCATCCCACTTCAGGGGAAGGATACTGCAAAATCCCCATGCCCTCCCCACTCCTGGGGGAAAATCTCCATTCCCACCCCACTCTGGGGCCAGTCAGAGGTGGTAGTTTCCGGTTCTCCAAACTACTCAAAATTTCCACTACTGGTTCTCCGAACTGCTCAAAATTTCCACTACTGGTTCTCTAGAACCTGTCAGAACCTGCTGGATTTCACCTCTGGTTTGTAACCTTAGCATGTAAGGGTTATTTCAGTGATTGAGGTGATATACAGATGGATGGATAAATCAATGAATGAATTTAATACCTGAAGATGGACCCTGCACAAGAGTACCGTATTTTTCGAAGTATAAGATGCACCTTTTTCCCCCCTACAAGGGGGTGAAAATTTAGGTGCATCTTATAAACCAAATATAGCCTTGCCCACCCACTGGCCCCCACCCTTTGACCGCTGCCTCCCAGCAATTTACCTCCTTGCAGCAAGCAGCAAGAAGAAATGGCTCGTTTCAGCTTCAGCACAGCCTAATTAGCACAAGTTGATTGGATCGGCCTCCCGACTCTCAGCTGTTTTGCTCTCAGCTGTTTTGCGTGGGCCTCTGCTGCTTGCTGCAAGGAAGTAAATTGCTGGGAGCAGATTTTTCTTTTCCTTGTGCTAATCAAGCTATGCTGAAAACGAAAATAAAAGTAAAGCAGGCTATTTGCTGTTTGCTGCAAGGTGGCAAAATTGCTGGGAGGCAGAGGAAGATTTCTTTTTCTTGTTTTCCTCACCAAAAAAAGTAGGTGCGTCTTATAGTCCGGTGTGTCTTATACTCCAAAAAATACGGTATACCAGAATTTCTACACAGATGCTCTAATGTCCATCAGGGGGTCATGCTTCAAACACCACTACAATACCAGGGGAAAGGATGTAATATATTCTAAAGAGGTCCTTCTTCATGTATCAGAAGTTATAGCTATTGCTAGGCAAAACTGCTCTTTCAAGAGTTGCACTGGAGCTGGAGAAGTGGTCCATTGTTAAGATGGAATGTTAAGTGTCTCCCACATTCAGGATGGAATGTTGGATTTTCTCTGTTTCGCAGATCCCTTGTTAGGGCTGTCCCTGGGTTGTGCTGTGGGCAGGTAAACAAGGTTTCTTGTCTTTGGTTTAGATGGGATTGAAGGGGGCTTTGTTTGGGGCCAAGGAGGATCAATTTGGATCTGATAGGACTGAGTCTAAAAGGTAGGGGAAAAAAGGGTGCAACCTCAATTTTATTTGCTTCGTCCATTTTCTCCACTGTCTCTAGAGACTGCAGCCAAGACGTGCCTCATTCTGTAGACTGTCGCATTCTCAGTATCTGATGAAAGCTGATGGTAATTCCTTTTCTAAGCATTATTCCAGCACAGTGTTGTAAGAAGAAATTACAATTCCAGGAACTGAATTGTTTCCCATCTGTACAAATACATCTCTAATAAATTTTCATTTTCATTTTCTTTCTTTTTTTCCTGCATTTCTTTGAATTGGCAATCTAATAGGTCCTTTTACTCATAATGAAGAAACTTTCAGGAGGCTGGATTATAAAATCATCATCTGACTTCTCAGCCTTGGAACTGTCCCATATGGAGTTAGTCTTCATAAAAAGTGTGGCTGCCACATGGAAGCTTCCATGCAGCTAATGGGAGTTCTGTGCATGCAGATTATTTTAAATGTACTGGTAGATAGAACATAACAAAATAACAGAGCTGGGAAGGGACCTTGAAGGTCTTCTAGTCCAACCCACTGCTCACATAGGAGTCCCTAATCCATTTCAGACAAGTGGCTAGATAAGTTATTTCAGACAAGTGGCTAGATAAGTTATTTCAGACAAGTGGCGGTAGATTAAATTTCATATCTTTGTGTTACTGATTCTGATCTTTAGCTACTTTTTCCAAGGTGTTATGAATATGACACAGTTTTATACTATGGTATATTACATCACTGTTTCCACAATCTTTATATTTTAGTGGCATTGTGATTATACAGTTTATTAGTCATTTAAAATGTTAGTCATTTTTCTAGACCTTGTAAGTTAGACTGTTCATACTGGGAAAGCTGTACATTTTTATCATCTAGTGTTATTTCATGATGGTCAAGGAGCATAACAAATATTACTACTAGCATGATGGGTATGTAGGAAGTTTTCATAGGGGACTCATTTGACTTTTAATAGCATTTATCTGTTCTTCATTAAAGCAGCCAATTTTTTAGGCATCTGCACCTATCTGAATATAAGTACTGGTGCCTTAAATGCCACCTAAATATTAATAAGTTAACTTCTTGAGGGAGTAGCAACCTTTTACAAACTTTAAAAGTCAGGATGCTTTAATGAACAGCAGGGAGGTGCTGTGCTTGGGTCACCATTTGAAGCCCCACTCCCAAATCAATATCCAAGAGAGTCCCATTAATTGTTCATTTGTTCCATTCCTACTAAGGTCTCAATGAAGTCGAGACATTCTTGGGAATGGTAGATGGTCTCTACCATTTCTCTAAGTGATTTTGTGCCAGAGAAATGCATGTGGCTCAGTGAATCTTTGGCATGCAATGCAAAAGAGGAAAATATCAGATGCGTATTTTAGTATAACTTAGTAATTTGACATGTTTTTGACAGTACTAAGTAAAAAAATATTTCAATGATACTCTGATAATTTCTAGTACGGTGTTTCCCCCCAAAAAAGACCCTGTCTTATATTTTTTTGAACCCTGAAATAAGCATTTGACCTTATTGCAATGTGCTCAAAAGCCCAATGGGGCTTATTATCAGGGGATGTCTTATTTTGGGGGAAACAAGGTATATTTGAGATAAGATGGCTTGCTGTCTAAAACAATGTTTGGAGAGAGAGCCAAGCAACAATGCAAGGGATAATATTGATAGAGAAGTATATGGAAGCCAAGCAATTTTAGAGAGCAGAACAATCTTCTGCAATAAGAGAAATCTGTTAAAATGCAGGTCAGGGACCTTTCTGACAGCAGCAAACTCTGCTGTTACTTATACCATTATTTACTAGGCACTACAGAAACAGTTAGAGACAGGGGTAATTTTAAGAACCATTTGCTGTCCTTTTATTTTTCTATCCATTAGCAATAATAACATGTTTGACTATATCTACAGAAAATGCTGTTTGTAAGTTTTTTCTGTTATCTTGCAGTGGTTTAGCTCAGGTTGAACAAAAGAGGCAAAATGGATCAAAAATTGGGAGGAAGTCAAAATAATTGATCCTGAGTTAATTGATAAGGACACATTATTTGCCACAGTCTGCTGATGAAGGAAGAGAGAAGCTTAGAAAGGCATGCTGTTTTGGCCAACTGCTGCTGAACAACAGAAGCTACCAGATCATCTGATTACAGTTTCAGAACATAGAGTCCAGTAGCAAAATGAAGAAACATGGATTGTCAGCAGCATTCAAGATATATCACCTTTTAAATATTTGAACTAGAAGATACCAGCAGATTAAAGTTGTTAACTTGAATAAATACAATATACTGCTAATGGAAATTTAGGAGTGAAAATACTGCACCCAGAAATTTAACTTGTTACCCTCAAGGAATCTACTTCTGAATAAATATACATGAGATCAGACAACATGAACATTCACAGGCTTCCAGATGGCTTTCCAAATGCATGGCAAGGCTCAGAAGTTCACTGCTGGTTTTCATGTGTAAAACACTACATTCTGCCATATAGCTCTGCCTCTATACAGGTAGTCCTTGACTTAGAACAGATATCAAGGTTGGACACCTCTGGCCTACAGCATTCATTATCCCCGCCCAATGCTGTAGGTCAGAGGTGTCCAACCTTGATAACTTTAAGACAGGGTGGTTCTGGGAGTTGAAGTCCACAAGTCTTAAAGTTGGCAAGGTTGGACACCCTTGCTGTAGGCCCACATCAACTAGAGAATGTTATTGTTTTTATTCTCCTGAGCACCAATTTGTCAGAATGAGCTATCCTTGCTGGGGGACCTGTCCAAGGTCCTGAAATCCCTATGTGTGTTTGCTTAATTCATTGCTTCGGTTATTTGAGCAGATAAATTTGGACACATTTTTGGCAACTGTGAGTTGCATTTTTTTTTTTAAGGAGGTGGAAAGGTCTCAGGTTGATAATGTAAAGTAGATAAGGAAAGGAACAGGATGTTTTGATTTTTAAAAAATAAATAAATCTTAAAATGGTGGGAAATAAACTGCTGGTGTCTTCTGGCTGGAGGAATTGAAGGGAGCTGAGGAAAAATAATAAAGGGTCATGAGACTGCAAGGATATCTGAGGCCATCACTTTTGAGATACATAATCCTTGTCTCTATCATCTTCTTGTTTGTCTACATCAGGTCCTCAACTTTTGAGAGCTGATTCAGGCATCCTGGCAGCGTGGAAATTTCTGGTGCTAATATGGCTTCCAAAGGAAAGTTCCACAGGAAAGTTCCTGTTGGAACTTTCACAAAATATCTGTTTTAACAGAATATCTTGTGAATGATTAATTTTTGAATTGGGGCAACATGTTAAAACTGAAGAGGAATATACATTTTAAATGCTAAAATTTAATAAGCTGTTTTGGAATAATTAGATTTTTTGAGGGCCATTTGAAATTTTGTTTTGGGAAAAAAGTAGAATAGTACCAAGCCAAAATAATAATAATAATAATAATAATAATAATAATAATAATAATAATAATACCGAGATATTTCATACTTTTTTTGTAAATGCTTTGTTGTAGACTTTTCCTTACTGAATATATTTTAGTGATAGAATTCTGATTATATGTTGTTCACTGCTCTAGTACTAAAGATGGGTTAGCTCACATCTGTATCTATCACTGCATTTCTTTTTATTCAATAATTTACTAGTCTTGTTCAAAAGTCATGGGGAAATTTGCAGTTGTATTCAACAAATACAAGTCCTCCTGGCATATTGTTTATGTGGAATGACAGTCACAAATCAAAAGCCACAGTAAAACGTCCAACATCTCATGTTGCCTCAAAGCTATGTTTTTCAGCAAAAGCAGCCCACCAATTCGTCTCTGATTAATCATACATACCTCCTATAGTTAATGATATTTTTTCCCTTTAAATTTATTTATGTATTCTCATTTTAATCTTTATCCTTGTACAGTTTTTGGATATTAGTGAAATATATTTTTTTCTCAGTAAATAATTCAACTAGCAAATAGTGAAATTAAATACCACTCCTCTCTCTATCTCCTCTATCTACCTAATCTACCATTGACCATCTATCTCTGTCTGTCCACTTATATTAGATCAAATCCTTGGCATTTTGATTATGCATTTAGGCCTTTGTGAGATAGTAAAACTTTCATCTGCACATGCTGATAGTCAAAATGAAGGAAAGAAAATATAAATCCTGACTTTTTTGGGGGAAATGCAAATCCATTATTTGCATGTATGAGCTATAAAGAATATATATCAGAAGAGGAAACATAAGATGGAGAACAACTTGGCATGCAGCAGAATGAAAAGTTTATTCTGGTATTTTTTGACTTACAATTACAATTATTCATTTAATGACTTTTTGAAGTTACAATAGCACTGAAAAGAGTGATTTACAACCAATCTTCTCTAACCACTGCAGCATCCCCATAGTCAAAACCTGGGTGCTTGATGACAAGCTTGGAACCCTGACATTGGGTGCTTGAAAACCAGATGGTTGTAGCATCCTGGGATCACATGATGACCATTGGCAACCTTCCCAGACAGCTTTTGACAAGCAAAATCAATGGGGGGAGCTGGATGCTTTTAATGATTGTGTAATTCACTTAACAACTGCGTAATTTGCTTAACAACATTAGCAAGAAAGGTTGCAAAAATAAGCAACCCAATTTAAGATCATTCTTGTAGCATGTTACAGCTGACTGGTCTTTTCTGCTTTTTGGATGCAAAAGGTTATATATTCAGTTTGCAAGTCTGGGAAAGAGGCTTGAGGCTCTGAAATCCTAGCAAGCTGGTACCAATCAATATACACAGTATTGAATCAACAAGACCAAGGATGTGATCTGAGGAAATGTCCTTTGTTTTTTTACCTCCGTCACCTAATCTTAAAATGTTGTCCTTGGTCTCCTACTGAGGTTAACTCCCATGCCTCCAAAAAGACCGTATGAAGTGACTCATAATAACACAAATGTTTTCACTTGAATGTTCACTACAGAGCATATATGTTAGTTGCCTCTTGAACATTGATCAAGTTGGACTGGTCAAAGCAAATGTAACATTATTAAAATGGTCAGTTCCAGAACAATGGATCTGATTCTATCCTTGAATCATAGAACTGGAAAGGGCCTTCCCAGTGCAGGATTTTGAATTAAAACATCTCAGATCACACACACGGACTTCCATTCACACAAAGGAAATGTCTCCTCTTTTTCTCCCTTTTCAGAAATAGATTTTGTGAGCGTATGGGGTTGTAACTAGGACTAAAAATTTTCTCTTCCTATTCCATCAGTAGAGGCAGCTTGTACTGATAGAAACAATATTCTACTCTACTGCATTTTTCATTTAAAAAAATCCTCCCCCAAAAGGTGTCTCTGCTTTGGGGATTGTATTAACTTTAATGAAAGGAATTCTTAAGGAAACAACTTTTTTTCAGGCTTGCTTGTGCAGAGGTTGAAGATAAAGATGGCTGCTTTAATTAATACCAGATACATACCAGTTGTGGGATTCAGCTGGTTCTGCTGGATCGCGCGAACCGGTAGCAGCTACTGCAGGAGGCTCCGCCCACCCGCCCAGACGTAATGCGCGACTACTGCACATGTGCAGTAGCTAAAGTAGCTAAAATGTCCTGGACTGAAATGATTCAGGATAGAAGTTTGATCCACGATTCCAAAGGATAGATGTTTCCCTATAAACATCAAAACCACACCATAGAAAAAAGAAAAAAAACACTAAAAGAGGTAAAGCTAGGTTAGTCCCCAGGAGATGAGTTACTCTTCTGTTCTTTTGTTGCAGAAGGTTTACATCGTGCAAAATGGATAAACAGAGATGAAAGGAACAGAGTGAAATTTGATGAAACTGCATGATATATAGATGCTTCCTCAAAGGAAAGTCAACCAAATGTGGATTTTTTTTTAATTCTGAGAATCTCTTTTAGGGCACCAGCAACATCTACTGTAAATTGCAGTCATGCCAAAATGAGGACACACATGTGATATCCTGCAGATGCCACCATTTTGAAGCTGCCCAAGTTGGACTGGTCTAACATAAGGTAAAGGTAAAGGTTCCCCTCGCATATATGTGCTAGTCATTCCCAACTCTAGGGGGTGGTGCTCATCTCCGTTTCAAAGCCGAAGAGCCAGCGCTGTCTGAAGACATCTCTGTGGTCATGTGGCCAGCATGACTAAACACCAAAGGTGCACAGAACGCTATTACCTTCCCACCAATGGTGGTCCCTATTTTTCTACTTGCATTTTCTATGTGCTTTCAACTGCTAGGTTGGCAGAAGCTGGGACAAGTAACGGGAGCTCACCCCATTATGCGGCACTAAGGATTCGAACCACTAAATATTTCTTAGTTATTAAACAGAATTCTTCCAGCACTGAAATAGCAACCAAAATTGTTTGGCGTTGAGATTTCCTCACGCAAATCTCACAGATCATGAGAAGATGACTTCAACATAGCAGAAGGAATAATTTCACATTAGACTTGTAAGCCAACAGGCGAATTTTCTAGCATGAGCCGCTGACCATTTTATTTTGCCAAAACCATTTTGGGATAAACTGTCTTTTACTGCTGGAGGATCACAGAAAGGGGCATTTGCCTGCCCTTCTCCAAAGCATGGGTTTAAAATAGCCAAGCCACAAAGTTGCTTGGGCAAGGATAATAGACAGCTGTGAAAATGGTTTAAGTGAACCATAAAACTGTCACATAAATGAGACATGCTCCCTGTGATGGCCCCATGGTTTCCAGAAAGCTTTCAAAAATGCAGCAGGTTTATAATGGAAAACTTTGGTACTGCATTAAACATTAATTAGGGCTTACAGAAGATGAATATAAAAGGGATTAGCAACACGCTGTCAATTTGCCAGCATGGAAATTAAGCACAAGGTTTGGTATTCTTTTTATGTTTGAGATGGAGATTGAACTTTGGCATTGTGACTCACTGTACTATACAAAATAGGAAAATAAAGCATTGAAAGAAGAAACTATGTTTTGTTTCTCTTCAGTCGTTCTATCTCTTTGGACCAACAAACAATGCGAAGATAATGCTCTTGAATAATTCACAGAACAGATGATTTAAAGAAGGCTGTCTGCCTAAGGTCATGAGGCACTTGTGAGGAACTGAATAATTGAGTTGGACTGAAGCAAAACCTCAAAGAGGAAACATCCATGCTTAAGGAAGTCTAGAAGAGAAGGATTGTTTCCAAAGTTTTTGCCAGCTAAGAGAGGGAGAAAAGAGGCAGAGTAATGCCAGCCATTCATGTTATGAGCAGAGTGGCCAAGAAAGTAATATAAATGTCATATGCATCATTTTTGTATGGCCATTTTTGGTCC